TCCTATAATAAATTCATAATATAATAATTACTATATATCCCGATTAAAATAAGATAAAAATCCTAGTTTAGAGACTTTATTAGTAGCTGACTTTTTCTTTAAATATTAATTACTTTATAGTAAATTATTACGAATATTAAAGGTCTTATAAGCCAAGAAATAAAATACTAGGCCTATTATACCTATTATTGGTTTCCCTAAGAATATGAGATAATTTATTTATAAACTTTTATATTCCTAGCTTTATAAATAAGAAATATAATAATATATTTATTATAATTAATTAATTATTTAAATAATATATAAGCCTACTAATAACTAAGAATACTATAGCTAGGACTATTACTAGCCTATTCTATTATTATATCTAGTAATTCCGAGAATTTCTTTTTATTATTATAAGTAACTAAAAACCCTAATTTATTTTAGACTTTATAAATAAACTATTAAAATTAATTAGAACTAAGCTAAAGCTCTTAACTATAAAATATACCTAAACTAATAAATAAATAGAAATTATTAACTAGATTATTAATACCTGACTTTATTTCTTTATTAATTATTTCTAGGATAATTAGGCAGATTTATTTCTAGTACTTAATATTATAGGTATTGCCTGCTTATATAAATTAACTAGCCTATTTCCCTTAATAATTAATTATAAATATGAACCCAGGCTAAACTTTAACTAAATACTACTAATAATAGAGTTCAAAATACTAAGAAAGAAACTTAATTAAGAGAAAGTATAATAGTAAGCTAAGAAAATTAATACTACTATTAATTATACCCGAGAATATATAATAATAGCTCAGGAATATTAAGCCAAGTAAGCTAATAAGAAATAGTAAGAACCGGACTTTAGTTTAGGAAATATAGTTTATATAATTAAAAAGATATAAAAAATAAACTATTTATTTAATAAATTAAATTATTTCCTTACTAAACTATTTAAAATTAATAAAATAGTCGACTATTTATATTAATTAGATCTTTTCCTATTTTATAGGATTTAGCTAATTTTCTATATAAATAGACTTTATAAGAATCCTACTAACTTATTACCCGGCCAGACTAATAAAGAGCCTGGTTTTACTAAAATTAATAGTAAACTTAAATAGGAAATTAAAAAGATTCTTTTTTCTAAGATACTTTATAATAAGCTTTATTATAAGGTTAAATAAAAGAAATAAAATATAGATAATAAATAATATCTTATATTAAACTTTAAGAACTTAGTACTTAAACTATATAAATTTTATAAGTAAAATCCTAGTAAAGTAAAACCTCTTATCCGGCTAAATAAATAGATTTAGTATATTAAAGAAAACGAGTTTAATAAAAACTATTTAGATAATAATAAACCTTAATAATAAGGCCTCTATAACTAGAGAAAAAGAAGAAAAACCTAGATATTTCCCGGGTTTTATTTAAATTCTAGTATATTTCTTTTATTCTACTATATTAGTACCTATTTTCTTTTTTAGAAATCTAGGCAAAATACTTTCCTTTATTATACTAGATTATATTTTACTATCTAGGCAAATTATAAAAAAAAAGTAAATTCTTAAAGCTAAGCTAAAGGTAAATACTTACCTATATTAATTCGAAATATTATTAAAAATTAAGGGAAATCTTCCTAACTACTTTAATCTTTATAATCTTAACTATTTATATTATTACTATTACCTTAATAGAACTATTAATAAAGACAAAACAGATAAGAAATCCCGGTAATATATTATTTGTAGCCAGACTAAGTAAAGCTATTTACTAGATCCTAGATAACTTAAGTAATAATAATAATATCTCAAGTTTAGTAACTACTACTATTATTAATATAATTACTAGCCAAATTACTTTTATAGACAAAAATAGTAATTTCCTTACCTAAGAACAAGTTAATATATAAAATATAGCCCGTATTACTCTTAAAAATATACCTGAAATTATTATAAAGAATATCTTAATAAAATATTCTAAGAATAATAAAATAGAGGTTTTAATTACTAGTAATAATAAGTCTAATAATTAAATAGGCGGAATAAATAGTACTAATAAAGGCTATCTAATTAATCTTATAAAGCCAAATATTAAAAAAGCAAAAAAGAGTAAGGCTAGCTTATCTAAGAAATATAAGGTATTAGATAATAATAAGAATTCCGATAATAAAAAGACTAAGAATAAAAAGACTTCTAGTAATAAAAGAGACTCTAACTATAATAAAGGTAACTAAACTAATATTAAGATGCCTATTATAACTAGAAAACATATAGTACTAAGTAATAATTATTATATAAAGTACTAGTCTAAAACCAAAAGCTAGTAAATAATCCTAAAAGCCAAATTAAAGAAGTAATATTCTATAGATATTAATAAATTAGTAAATAATACTATTTAGGAAATCGGAAAACCTCTTAGAAGCTTTTATAAAACCAAAATTATATAGCTCAAGGCCCGGGGATTTAATAATAAAATAGCTTAAGTAGCTGCCCTTAATATATAAGTCTCTATTATAGAGAAATAACTTGAGAATATATATATTAAGCTTAAGAAGGCCCAGAAGTTAATTAAGTAGCTCAGAAATAGTATAATTAAGCCAAATACCGCTATCCTAACTAAGAAGAAAGGCAAGTAAGCTATTATATTAAAGCTTATATTAATAGATAGACTTAATCTGCTATCCCTATTTAAAGACTGCCTAATAATAATAGTTCTAATATAGCCATAGCCTATACGGTATTCCCAGACTATATTATTAATATGAGTATAGGTATAATGCAAGTAACGGATACTAAGGACTAGTCGGAACATACTAGGAACTGGGTTATTTTAATAAAGTCAAGACTATACTTTAATTATAAGTAAGCTATAGGGATTAGACGGAATAGGGTTAATAGCCGTTATTTCCTCTTTTTTCTTTTCTATACTATAGCTAAATAATCCCCTAAATAAGGGCATTTAGATTTCTCTTTAGGGGGGGGGGGTAATATAATAGCTAGTATAAGGGCATAATCTGCCAAGGACAGGATATCGGAAACAGGTATAAAATAAAGCTAAGCCAGAATTACTTGGACGGAATAATACTAAAGGTCGAGGCATCCTTCCTACTTTATTCCATAGCTTAGTATTTTCTAATACATGAGATTCTTTGAACTTTGAGCCTTTGACTATTGCATTAATCCCGCTGTTATAGTAAGTAAATAGTAATACAAACGGGAATTCCCTAGTTCTTATTGGGTTAGTAACCCTTAAGAACGGATAAAGAGAGGATATTTGAGATTTCAGAGTCTGAGTCTAAGTCTTCCATTATTATATAATAATTAAAGAACAAAAATGGTAGTTTGTAGGAAAAGAAGCGGTGAGGTGTGGGTTTTGGTGAGGGGTAGTCACGTGTTCGCTTAGGTGTACGACGAGCAATGCCGCATGCTCTTACAATACTTCAGACGAAATCACTCTAAGGTGCAGTCTTGCAAACTGACGTACTCACAGCTGTAGTACTACAAAGACGCCGCATATTACATAATCCACATGACGTTTTGTTCACGTGATAATCTTTCAAACAATGCAAACAACCAAACTGACTCACCCACAGGGTTGCTGCATGACGCGGCGTCGCAAAGAGTGAGGGGCTGAATTGGGTCCCAGGGCGCTGGCGTTGGAAATGGCAAAATTCGGCTCCCTAACGCTGGCGCATCTATTGCGATAGCGCTTGAGGAACGCTGGCGTTGAAAAGGGAGCAGAAATTGGATCCCTGACGCTGACGCATCCATTTCGCTAGCGCTTGAACGCCGGGGTTGGGGAGGAGCAAAATTCGGCTCCACGACGCTGGCGAACTCATTGCGATAGCGCTTGAGGAACGCCGGCATTATTCAGCTCCCTGGCGCCGGCGCATCCATTGCGACGGCGCTTGAGGAACGCCGGTGTTGGGGAGGGCATCGGCTCCCTGACGCTGGGGCGTTCAAGCGCTAGCGAAACGGGTGCGCCAGCGTCAGGAATTTTACTCCATCAGAAATTAGATTGAATGCTTCTGACCAAAATGGGTGAGAACATCGTTCTATTCCCCAACGCCGGAATCACGTGCTAGCGCTTTTCCTAGGAGCAATTTCTTAGGAGAAATTTCTTAGGAGATCACGGGTCCTGCGAAAAATCGCTTGGGAGAGCACAGCTCCTAAGAAATTTCTCGTAGGAGCTATGTTCTCCCAAGAGCCGCAATCTCCCAGGAATCTTATTATAGGACCTGTGATCTCCTAAGAAATTTCTCCTAACCCGAGGTTCACAGGAGAAAGGTACTGGCAGATTGTCGTTCCCAGGAGCCTGGATATAGGAGCTTCCTCCTAGCCGTCATAATAACCCAGGAGCTTTCTGCTAGTAGTATTCTTCAAGGAATCACAAGGGAAGGCTTATAAAGTCACATGTAGGCTGCAATTATGTAAGAGGGCATGGATTAATAAACTAGATCTCTATAGAAAGTATGCTAAAGAGCACGTAAATCTGAAGTGACTACACTAACACCCTGGTAAATACTGATTAAGCGCTAGTAGGGGTTTAATGATTCTTTAAAACGAGAACCCCCTGTCTAGTGCAGTAGAAAGAACAAAAAACGGAGCATCTGAGGACAGAATGTGGTCCGATTAGAATCACATATTGTGAGGACAAGTAGCATTATGAAGGGGCTTAGGGGACCAAATCTGGCTCCCCACCACTTGGGTTCAAGGGGACCGATTCTGGCCCCTCATTGTGCAATCAAACCATGGGCTCAAAATCGGCTCCTATGCCCTTGTTGGCCACTAATACGAAAGTCCTCAAAGACAACCATTAGAGCAGACGGTCTTTGACAAAACACGGCCCAGAACAACAGACGATTCTCAAATGCCTCAAGCTTAAGGCTCGAAGTGTATCAAAACTGGCCTGGGCAAATCACCTTGACCTCTACTACAGCCTTTTAGTATCAATGGATACTATAAACGGCAAACGAAATGACGAGGGGAAAAGAAGAAAAGAAGAAAAAGAAGAACGAGGGATTAAACAGGAGAAAGGATACTTTGATTAAGAAAGCCTATGAATTAGGGGAATTCGATGGTATTGACATAGCTCTGATTATTTGCAAGAATGGTCGATACACCACGTATAGATCTAGGGACCATTTATCATGGCCACTATCTATAGCAGAGATAGTAAGTAAAGGGATTACTTGCTTGAAATACATAGCCAGTGCTAATACTTATATAGCAAACTGCCTATCCTCTCCCAAAGAATATACTACCGGAAGATATCGAGAAGCGCCCTTCTAAACATGTAGGAGAGAAAATATTGCCTCGGCAGAACAAGGAGGAGGGAAGAATAACGAAAGGTAGGCAGACTACCTGCAAATAGATAGATAACTAGCAGTTTCACAAAGGGGATATAAGATAATAGTTATGGATATTAGTGAATGAAGTCTCAGCATCGCGATGCCTTGCTAGTGGCAAGCCTATTAATATTCAAACCTGGGAGTCCTCTACAGCGTGGAGAGAAAATCGAACATGGTTAAGGGCGCTTAGTCGTTGAGCTCTTGCCAATTGAAGGAGCGACGTCGTCTAGCCCGTCGTCCGGAAGTAGTGATTCCTCTTGGGGCGAGTATATCCTCGAAGCTTAGCAGCGGACTGTGGTGGTGTGATAGATCTGCGGCCTCAGCGATGAAGTTGGGTGATATGTCGCAGAGATCGACGTCTTCGATATCGCTCTCGCCCGGGCTTAATATTACCATATCTCCATTAATAGATTCTTCGTTATCGTAGCCGCACGCCGATCTGTTATTCTCTGTACTATTAGTAGCTGCTTGTAGTAATTCATTTGATAAGTAGAGCAGGATCGCAGTACGATTTAACTGCCCATTGACCGCCAGAGCTTGGATCTTTACGACTAGTCCGGCTGGCGTGGTCCAGTTCCTGGTATAGCTCTATAACGTATCCAGTGGAGATGAGAGTATGCGTGATGCTCTTCCACATCGCAAGGAGATCTTTGCGATCTAGGTTTTCAGCGGTCCAAGTATCGAAACCGTCTTCCTGCATTCTGGAGGTTATTGAAGAGAAAGGAAGGTAATGCCTCGCGACGGTGGACGGTGAACTCGTGTCTCTTGTGGGGGACCTCCCAGCGAAATAAAAAAAAGCGACCCTATCCTACCAACTTCCAAAAATAGTTTATTATCTCAAGGGGTAATTTTGGAATGCCCAAATCAAGATGCGGATTATAGCTTTTTGGAACGTCAGATATTAGAAGCATTTACCATACTTTGACCGCAGTCAAAATGCAGACTTCTCTATCTAGAAACAGTAACTTAGACGCTTCTCGCAGACAAGTCCCCACCGTAACTGTTAGCTCCCTTCTCGAGCAGGCAGTCTATCATCCTTGTAACGCCTTTCTGGTATGCAAAGTAAAGCGGCGTCATGCCTTCGCCATCTCGAGCAGCCATATCCGCTCCTCTTTCCAGGAGAAGTCTGAGAATGCCGAGAGAATAGCGTTGTGTAGTAAGGTGTAGTGCCGTCTGTCCCTTGAAATCAGTAGTAGATGTGTCGACTCCATAGTCGAGCAGCTCTTTGACCACCTCTTCGTATCCATCCATCACCGCCAAATGCAAGGAGTCCTGCCGTAGTAGTCCTGCGCTGTACAAGGCGTGTGCTTTTCCAGAAGCTCCTTGACCTTTAGAACATCTCCCGCTGAAGCCGCGCCTGTAAGGACTTGCGCATTGTCTAAAGAAGCAAGCCAGATTCTGCAAGTGGGACAACAGCCATCGAGAACGGACTTGGATAGGCAGTCTTCGTGGAGTCAGTGCTCGCAACACCGTAGTCGAACCATGCCATCCCCAATCTGCCAATCCTCGAAGCAGAAGTAACAGTGTTCCTCAGTATTACCCGCATCCGTAGTCTTTCTAATGACGTACGTGTCGGACAGCCGGCCGGAAGTTCGACCCTGCGGGTTTGGCATATCTTGATCGGCGGTGTTGATGTTCGACTGCATATTGGGATCGTGGTTCAAAGAACGCAATTGCAATTCTGTAGAGCGTCAGTCAAGTTAGATCCTTTAGTAGCTAGTGACTTTGTTATACGCTTCGGAGCCGTGCTTCTGGGTCCTTATTTGGTGGAGGCATCTCGGAAAGATCTTGCTGGAGCGTGCTTGGCTTTGGCTTTGTCCCAAAATGTTCTAGAAGCCGAGACGTTGCAGCCTGAGGAACAAATCAAGTCACCCCTGTACAGAATTTTCTCGCGGTAAACCATTGAAAGGCTCAACGCGGGGAGTTCCTCGAATTGAAGATGTTTTGTACCTTTAGTTGCTTGAAAAGCCATGAACGTCATTTCCGAGTGGAATGATTTGAAAGCAGAGATAGCTCGCATTGTAGGTTCAGCTAGCTGAGATCGAAAACAGTCCGCGTAACATTAGTGAATGATTTAGTGGATCGTGACCTTAGGTCGAGGCTTGGATGTTGCGTCTTGGCTCTTGGGCATTACGTGTTCGCTCTTGGATGAGATTGAGCGCGTCTGAAGCTCCAACTTGAAGCCCTCAGGCCATGGCAGACAGAAAGCAACTCATGGAAGATAGAAGGAGGCGGAGAGGGTACAAGAACAACACGTTTCTCAGGGCATTTTGTCTACGGATTGATAAGAACTTGAGAATATGATAAGATGAAACAATAGTTAAACTAGCTAAGCGACAGTTTAATGGAAGGGGACAATTTTGTGACAGCTTCTTCTTGGTGGACTTTGGCTCCAGACCTCCCACCAATGCAAATTCAGCGGCCACCACATACAAGCACGATTCTTCTTCACTCATCTTAGGAATACTTGGGGCTGGTGTATTTGTACTCGGTCGTGAAGTCGGTAGAAGCGTTCGTATAGGTAGTGCTGGTGAAGTCGATGACTACTGTCTGCCCCAAGTCGGCGACGTTGACAACATCACCTTCGCTATAGGTGCCCGTCGCAATGAAAAACTTCTGGACAGGCGCTATTTCGTAGTCTTGGCTGGGTTTTGCAGTCCAGACCGCAACCGGAATAATGTCCTCTGAGTCGTGAGCGCTTTGCCTACCCAAGCCGCAGTAGACGTTCTCTGATCAGAAAGGGGACGGTTAGTCAATGGTACCCTTGGAATCACTTGAGTTGGTGGGCTTGATTTAGACCCGCGGAACATACCATGCTGGGTCGAATCGAAAGAATTTGTATTGATGGCAAAACTACCAGTCGTAGAAGTGGTCGAAACGGCTGAACTATCAAAGACTGGCCCATCATCTTCGACATTCATTTGGAGCTTGGTTCCATTGGAGCTGCTCGTCGTGATATTCACGTCGGCCCAGTCACTCGTTGAGACACTGACACCGCTCGCAAAAGCGGTATCGGTCGTCCCACATACGCCATAAAATTTAGAGGTGATCTTGAATGTGGCCGTGCCGTTAGGATGATCTGTAACGCCAGACTTAACCCAAACATTGGTCCAGAGCTGGCTAATGTTGTTTGAGGACGTCGGTTTCTCGTTGAAGAGCAAGAAGTGCTGGGAGGCATCACTCTTGTTATGAACTTTGATGGTGTATGTGGTCATGATGGACAAGTGCGGGAGATGACTTAAATGAGGAGGATTTAAAAGGCTGTGATGTTTGCTCTAAAGAATTATCAATACATGTCTCAACATGTGGGAGTCGCGGTCTTTTTTATACACGGCCTCCTAGCCTCGTGCAGCTTGATCACCTACGTTTTTGAATGATCCTCGGTGCTCCAGGGTAATTTACTGACGTGCAGCTCCTTGCAGGATCATTTATTACCTGAGTGGTATGGTATTACGGATCACAGCGTTCTTTGCGCGAGCCTTACGCCAGACTCATTTCGCTCATTCGTGATCCAAAATGATCCCATCCTGATTGGCTAAGATCAGAACAGCACCGCCGACGATGAATGATCTCTTTAACTCAGAGTGCTATTGAACGTAACATATTCCGGTTGATCTCGTATAACAATATAATGAGCTTGTCAATTTCAAGGCCGAACAATTGTGCCTTCGTCATTTAAATGCCCTTTGTTTTCCTCAAGAGCTTTCCACCATGTCTAACCGTGTTGTTAAATCCAAAGGGGGACAGTCCAAGAAAACTCAAGATCGCCACTCTCTCTACGAATACATTTGTCTCAACGGTGTTGAGATGCCGGCATGTTCTCGTTGTCGTGAGAAGAGTCTTGCTTGCAAGCTGTCCGACAAATCAGAGCGCTGCGGCGAATGTGTCCGCGCAGGGGTTACTTGCGATGCTGACGGGTTCTCTGCTATAGCCTGTAAGCAAACGTTCCAATAGTGATGGGTGTGGTCCTTACTTTCACAGTATCTCGGATTTCTCGGGAGAAGTCACGCCTGGAGTCTGAAGAGGAGGCTGCGTGGGACGAGATGGTTACATTACAAGCAAAACTTGCTCGGCTGAGAAAGCAGAAGCGCTTGTTGGAGCGGAGGGGTGTCGAGATGGTTCGTCGTGGATTGGAGAACTTGGATGAGCTGGAAAAGGAGGATCGTCGCGCCGAGGGAGGCAGGCTAGCCATGGGACCCACCCAAGCCGGAGAACAAGATTTCGTTTGGGATTTCTCACAGATCACGGACCTAGATGTCTCAGGCCCCTACAGCGCAGGACATGAACAGCAGGGAATGGGCCACAGTCTCGAGTACTTCGGAGATGTCGCGCAGCTTCGCATTGAGCACGGCGCAGGATAGGATGGAATGGGGAGATTGGCTTTGTACTAGGATTTTGTTCGGTTTCCAGTCATAAATTTTTACTTTAGTAGTCTTTCATTGGTTGTTGATGGCTATGGGACTCTTGCCTTTGGTCAGGTCATAGTAGGTATGATGCGGGCGGTTGCGAAAAGGTAAGGCAGTTGGAGAGAGGTATGAGGAGGGTCGAGGTGGTTGCAAAGGGAAGGGCCCCTTTAGCGCGACGTCAAGTCCGACTATTAGTGCGGGGGCGGGGTAGCTGACCCAGAAGACTGCTGTTTGAGCGTTTTAGAAAGGTTCATCATATTCTCCAATACACTAACTTGATTTCAACGTGACAGGAATGTGAAAAATCGACAGGCAGCTTGGACCGCCTTTTCAGGACTTCCAAAATTGGAATGTGGCTTCTAAGGTTCTGACTTCGGCTTCCCACCAGGGCCTGGATCCCGTGCAACGCGACTGCGTGCAAGCCCCTATTAAATCGGCACCCATGCTACAGTGTGCAGAAAAGTCGGATTTATCCGTGCAGAGTCCCATTTCTCGTCATTATTTGAGGTTGAAGCTTATCTCTTTTCCCATTCGTTTTACCAGCTTACTGAATAATTTCTCACAACTTTCAATCCTGCCTGCGTCGCAAAGAAGCATGGCTGGGGTATTAGCAGCGAACACCAAGACCCCGTCTCCAGACCCTGAATTAGGGATCGAAGCCGATGAATACGACGACAATGACTCTGCGCTCGGCAACCTTCAGAGCTCAACAACTTCAATCAGCTCCTCCGTCATGAAATTCCACGAAGAGAACGGGAGAACCTATCACGCCCACCAAGATGGAAAATACCTGCTTCCAAACGATGAGCAAGAGTAGGACCGTTTAGATCTCCAGCATCACTTCTTCACTCTAACATTCGACGGGAAACTGTTTATTTGCAATGTCGACAAGGGTGAGAAACAGGTCTATCGGGTGCTTGATGCTGGCTGTGGGACGGGAATATGGGCAATTGATTTCGCGGATGAGCATCCCGATGCCGAGGTTCCAGGGATCGATCTCAGTCCCATTCAGCCAGCGTTCATACCCCCGAATGCTACTTTTGTAGTTGATGATTTGGAGCAGGAATGGGCTTTCAGCAATAAGTTCGACTTTATTTATATGAGGATGTTGTCGGCTTCAATTCTGGACTTTCCTGCCATGTTCAAGAACAGCTTTGAGTAAAATACCCATCCTTAATGTCCTGCTCTCCAACTTCGTATCTTCAATCTCTTCTCTTTGTTGTATCTTGGTTTTCTTCTAGATGCTCATATGTGACAGGAATCTCAACCCAGGCGGCTACATAGAGTTGGCAGACAAGTGCCTACCCATGCTTTCGGACGATGGATCTCTGCTGCCCACCTCAGCGCTACAACAGTGGTCCGACTTCACCATTGAAGGAACTAGCGAAGTGGGTCGGTCAATTACTGCAGCGAGCGAGTACAAGAAGCAGCCAGAGGAAGCCAGTTTCATCAATGTCGTGGAGACTGGGACAAATGGCCGACAAACCCCTGGCCAAAAGATCCAAAGTTCAAACAGCTAGGTGTGAAAAATGCCCGCAATTTGATCATTCGCAGATGAAGAGAATTTAACGTAGATAGGGTTATGGACATACGAGAATCTGGCCCCTGGGCTTGAAGGTTTCAGCTTGGGCCTCTTTACTCGCGTGAAGGGTTGGAAGAAGGTCCGGAACGATATGAATGACAGGAAAATTCATGCTTACTTGCCGATGTAAGTACCGATTACTCGGCGAACGCTTGATAACTGCTCACGACGAGATGTAGATACGTTGCATCTGGACAGAAGCCACCAGAGGAACCTTAAGATCGAGTGGAGGAAGGACCTTCCGAGCAGATGGCCTCGCGGTGGACATAACATGAGGCACTAAATATGCCAACTTCGATGGGACATTTCAACTACGTCGTCTCCTAATGTTGCCTCGATCTCTCGCACATCCAATAATATCTCGAAAATCTCGAAAATCTCGGAAGCTCTGGGATACTAAAGTCTTCTCTTCTTGAAGTCGGGATCATTATCCAGCTTTGACAGAGGATAATGAAGATTAGTGTCGCTTTTTATGTCTACCGCGAGGGGGTGCAGGTAAAGGAAGGGATTCCTTGCGCAGCTGAATGAACGTTCACATGACTGCACCGGCTCCGGCTGGCAGGATGCTCAGCTTCACTTGGGTAATCGTCCCATTCTTTCCCCCAACATGAAGGGATCTCCGCTTGATATAATTGCTCGCAATCAAGTGCTTGGAGATATCTTCATCTACACATGACGGGTTCGGTCACGTACGAGGGGGGAACATCCATATTGAGATGAACTGAGACGGAAATATAATCAAAATGTGCTCTGAAGCCACTTGGATAATCTTGACGCGAAAACAACTTTACTAGAACTCTTTCAGAAATTGGTTCTAGATCATCCCCTCTGATTCCGCACAGGGGCTCTCGAGAAAGAGACAGAACTTTAAGAACAATTTTCAAAAGAATTATGCAAGAGAAAACTTGGGGGGGGGGTAATAGATCTAGTGAATTTGTTGAAGTGGAGAAAGTGCATCCTCAGCTTGCTCGTGCTGGCGAGTTGAGTCCGGTGAGTTGAAGTTTGCATCCATGTTGTTGAAATGAGGTGGTTGGAAGCCTTGCTTGATTATCGATGGCTGGGAAGCCCCCTAATATAAGTCCAAAATCCACTCGAGCCCCAGCCCCCTAGCTGCCTTAGGCACCATAAGCTTGGCACCTTTCAACACATGTCAAACGGGCCGAGCAAACAGAGCAAACACCCAATTTCGCTTAGCAAAATTTCTCGAGTACAAATACTTCGCGGTCCCTTCGAACTTCCATCTTTTCTCTCCATCTTAGTGCATGGGTAAGCCGGACCCCCCAACCTCGCACTCGCATGTTGCTAACATTTCCCAAGGTTTTACGCATATCAGTGGTCAGTAGCACCCTCATTCGACACCCGCGACAATCATACTAACTCGATTCCAGAGGATTCGTCCGAGATGTAAGTTCCTCCAACCTTCGATCTCCCGATCCAAAACTAACTGCTTCCCAGTGCGTTTTTGCTAGTTGTGAGTTGCCTTCGACCTCGAGTTCCCTTGAGCGGCCACTGATTGTTCACCAGGAAAACTATAACCATGACCGCTCTTGCTCGGCCTAGGCTGGGTGAGGAATCTTTGGAAACCAACCTTCTCTCGAAAGAGAAACCTTTTTTCATTGCGGGTGGTCCCTCGAGGACTAGCGTGAAGAAGAATAGAAGATGAAGGGGCTTGAGAAGGCGACAGGACACAGCGTGAGCATGAGATTATGCTTAGACAACATCACTTTCGGAGTGCAATGATTCAAGGCTGCGATGAAGCAGCTGGAGGAGAGTGGCAGCTATGTAGAGCATTACGGCACTGAATACTATGGGCTCATGCAATTCTCGATATCATCTATCACCGTAACCTTGCATGGCTCTGCAGTTATGCTAAAAGACGCGTCTGCTCTAACGCGATGTAATCCTGATGATCTAAGGATGCGGCTCTCGAGTCCACATTCCCAACGTCAACACATCAACACCATGGCAGCTCTCATCACCGGCGCAACAGGTCTCCTCGGCCGCCAGGTCACGAAAGCCTTCGAGCGTGGCGGCTGGAGGGTAACAGGCACAGGCTACACGCGCGCCTCCCCACCTTCGATCCTGAAGGTGGACCTCACCGTGCCGGACGAGATAGCAAAGGTGTTGGAAGACGTCAAGTGAGTCCCAATACCGCCTCCTCTGCACGCAGGCAGCGCTGACTGGCACGAGGGTATAGACCAAGTGTCGTCGTCCATTGTGAGCTCTTCACCTTCACCCCATACTCATAGCCCCTACACCAAATGGAAGGGCAAGACAGGACTCGAGCTGACAGACCACTTCAGGCGCTGCCAACAGGTTCCCCGACAAATGCGACAATGACCCCGACGGCACACGCGCCCTGAACGACGCAGCAACCCGCGCTCTCGCCAAGCTCTGCGCCTTCTCCTCCATCTGCCTCATCTACATCTCAACCGACTACGTGTTTCCTGGCACTGAAGGCGACGCACCATATCACGTCACCAGCGCGCCGAAGCCGCCGAATCTATATGGGGAAACGAAGCGTGCGGGGGAGAAGGCTGTGTTAGAAGAGTATGCGAAGGCGGGGGAGAAGGGAAAGGGATGGGGCGTGGTATTGAGGGTGCCGGTGCTTTATGGGGAGGCGGAGAGCCCTGCGGAGAGTGCGGTCAATGTCTTGATGGATGCGGTTTGGAAGGTGCAGGAGAAGGACGCGAGCGTTAAGATGGATCACTGGGCGTTGCGGTATCCTACGAATACAGAGGATGTTGCAAGAGTCTGTCAAGGCATGCCCTCTTTCTTTCCACTCTCCCATACCTTTTGCTTATTGAGATTGTATAGAGCTTGCAACGAAATTCCTCGACACACAGGATCCAAAATCCCTTCCTACCATCCTGCAATTCTCGTCCGAAGACAAGTTCACGAAATACGAGATCTGCCAGCTGTTTGCGGAGATTATGGGATTACCACTGGATGGCATGGTGGCTAATGCTGAAGGCAACGACCCGAAGGCTACTGTTCAGCGGCCGTATGATTGCCACCTTTCGAGTCAGGCGTTGAAGGATTTGGGGATTAATACTTCGACTATGGACTTTAAGGGGTGGTGGAGGAGGGAGGCGAGGGCATATAGGAAATGAAGAAATGGAGAGGCTCTGGTCCTACAGGGACATGACGAAGGCATGTGGAAGGGGACGGCTGTTTTTCCCATAACGTGGCATATATGGGGAGTGCTTAGCTTGGCCGAGAGCCTTGCTGTCGGGCTGTATTATACAAGTTAGGAGAACAACGGCAATGCCTTGAAATCCAGCCTCCAAAATACCAAACCCTTGTCTTCCCCGCTGAACAGGCGTCCGTCGCAGCATGATCTTGCAGGAAAAGCACAGTGATATGCAATTGAATATCACAATTGCCAGAAGCTGGATCTAATGGCTGGCAGTTTCGCAGTTTCTATGCAAGCAGACCCGACGAGGGCAGCATTCTTGAAAATTCATGTGCATTTCCACACATGCTCCTCATCTCTAATACCCTCTACCTCTTCTCTAGTTTTCGTCTTGGGCTTTGTCTACAATATCCTGATTATCCTCGATCATCTCCGCACACCACCGCTCAAACACCTTAGCACCCACCATCTCCGCCCTCTCACGAATTTCCACAACATTACTCATGTTCACGAATGCCCTCCCAGCAACCAAAATCTTATCTTCGACTTGAGACATCAGTGCAGGGATTATCCAGCAGTCGGCTCCCTTGTGAAGATCAAGAAGTAGGTCGAGCTTCGTGGCCCTCTCATCCTCATCGTCGTCATCTAACACCTCCATCTCTTTCCAATCGATTTCCTCCTCGTAGGCGTGGTCGATCATGGTTGATAGCGTGTGATAGGACATGTAGTCGTCAGGGTCAGTGTTCTCGTCGTATGTTATGATATCTTCCTGTCTCCATCGACTGTCGAATTGCTGGGCACATTTTTCCGACGCTGCGCCTAGCACCACCTTGTGGGCTTTAATAAGTCTGCCTTCAGTCGAAAAGGTGATATCCAACAACTTCTTGTCTTTTCTCAGTTGTCGTAGTGATTTGGACACTGAACAACCAAGGTGGAGAGTGGGTCGTGTGACGGTTGGGTAGGTAATGGAGCGGCAGCCCATGCCTCTCAACAACTTCTCGAAACGCATCAGTCGAGGTCTGACTGCTTTCATTTTCCCAGAGTCGATTGAACTGGATAGAACCAGGTTCTCAATCCCTTGCCAGGACGACGCGATATCCTCCAATTGCACAGTTCCGCGATCCGATGTGCCTAAATTCAGCCAGATGGCCTCATTTCCTACATTATACCAGTCCCTGCTGTCTAGATGATCTTGGAGGTATTCGTAGGTGAGATCCAGATCTGTGAGGAAGTCATGAATTTGGTCTCGCTTCAGATCTTCGGAAAAGATCTTCATGGTTTGCAGGTGCTGCCAAACCATATCGATATCCGGGCGACCAGCCTGGCCGTGGCTGGTAAGTTTACCAAGCACTTCTCGTGTCGGTTGGTGAACGACAAATGGAGTTTGAGTCCAACAAATAGCCACATGCTCATATAAAATGACGTCAGAAAGATGTAGAAACTCCTCATCAGTAGCCAACGTAGCCATGGTATCTCGCCTATACTGAGGTTCGGTGCTGAAGTCTGTCCTGGATCGAAACACTCTCTCCCTTGCAATGGCATCCCAGTGACCCCCAAAACTCTGAATATTGGAAAGGGGAGACGTCAGTAGAGATAGAACCGTCCGGGAATCTTGCTCAAGATGTGGATCATTTTGTGCATCTCCTGCGTTGAGACGGGCTTTCAGGACCTTGAGGCATTGAATATAGTCTCCAGCACTGAGGGAATTGTTCGCTCGGTGACGAAGACCCAATCTCAGCCAAAATAATCGATATCCTTCCACGCTCTTATGGAGGAATCGAGTTTCTTTTTGGTGTCTGAAAGCTGATATGAATATTGGATCCTCGTGGTCGTACATCTCGCATGTCTTTGTTAACTTGCAATTCCCATCAGCTGCAACTTTGCTGTCAGTCAATATCGGTAAGAGGCTATTCCAAGAATCTGAGTGAGCGGCGATACTGGCAATCGCAGAAATGAGCGGTTGAAAGTACTGCCATTGAATAGCGCTTAGAGTTGATGGCATTGGCAGTACATAGTCCCTGAGGAGCATCTGAATGGGCAGTTTTTTAACTCCCAGTTTCAACAGACAATCACGGTTTCGAGCATCGCTGGAAAATGAAGGAAGGACAAATCGACTGCAATCTTTCATCCATGGAACGAGAAGGCGAGAATCTTCAGCAATCCAAGAGTCGTTTGCAGAGACCAATTGATCCGGGGATGATGCATGGAAAACCGGCCAGAGAGGAATCGACTTCAAATCGGTACCGAGACCAACGAAGCCGCCAGGTTCACGGTTTAGTATTTCGGCTGAAAGGTGGGCTATAGCCAAGTTTCGTAGTATCTGATTGCTAGCGTTAGTAAACATTTCATCCGTTTTTCGAGCCAGATAAAAGTCAGTCAGTATATTAGGGGAATGCTAAGAGCTGCTGCCTTTACTTTGCTTACAAACGCAGTTCCAGTTAATGTCAATGTAGAAGAGGTTCTGGCAAATGTCCTTCGCAATTTTGTCTATTCAAATTCCTAGCCTTGAGCTAGAGATTCAGAATGTACGAACTTTCGTGGGACATTTTGCTATAGGAAGGTATTCTCAAAGCTTTTAAGGGGTGTTCTTACCTTCAGATTAGCTGCATCCAAATGAGTTTTCACGAACATTCCAATTCCACTTCCACCTGAGAGCAATCGTAATGAGCGGATGAGTCGATAGAAAGAGGCTTCATAGTAGAATGACTTCTCTTCATCCGCCATAGATTTTGGCATTAGGTCCGGGTTGAAACGCCAGAGATCGGGGAACCTATCGCACAGCTTTTTATGCTCACCACTCGACGGCTCCACCACTGCGGGAAGTGTATGGAATAATTTTGGGCTTGTATATAAGTGGGTGCCATTCAATCTCAAGGTCGTTACTCGGAATATTTTGGCCTCAAGGGTGTCGATGTTTGATGAGGGCGCAGAAGAATCAATGTTGCTGTTCCAATATTTCCAAAATTCCGTGAGCCATCTATCCTCTTCTGCACTTCGGGTCGAGACTACTGGCTTCATCTCCAGTAATTTCTTGACATCACAGAGTTTCAATCTAGCAAGATTGAACTTTCCACTGTCGAGAACAGGCTCAAGCATCGTTCCGATGCCCGACTTCACTAAACGTCTTGATGCGAATCCGAAGAGCTTCAATTCGTCCTCGGAAACCACGAAATACTTTGGTGATTCAGCTGCATTTGAATTCTCGAGCCTCAAGGTAGCTAATGTTCCATCTGCGAGAGGAAGAACGTGACAGCCGTCCAAATCGCGAAGTTCAGAGTCAACCGGGATGAGTAGATCAAAAAGCACATCGAAGATGTTTGGGTTCTGAGCCATCTCTTTCAGAAGGCTCGTTCTGCCGTTCTCTGACTTGAATAGTGCCCGTAGCATGGGTCCTGTAACACACTTCACATCAGGCACTACCTTCAGATGTTTCATGATTTTTATTGGTATGTCACGGACCAGGTTCACTTGCATCGCCATGAGGAGCGGAGCAAGTGTTCTGGATTGACCTCTGTCTAAGAAGTCAAATACTGCTCGGCTGATATCAAGTGATTCCGGCGGTCTGCGTTGAGGAGCTCCTACGGCAGGCTGAGCCTTCGGGAAGAGGCGTTGTGAACTCCCGGGCAATTTTTGCCAGAAAGATGCACAAAGAAGCTCTGCGCAACTTTTTTTGGGGGGCTCTTCCTGTGGCCAGAAACTGAACACACGCTGACGGACCTGCGGTAAAATGTCATCGAGGAATGACAAGTATAGGTTCGGTAAAGCTTCTTGAAGAAGATATCTGTTCCATCCGACTCCTTGTGATTTCGTCCCATAGTCGTCAATCGCGATGGACTGCCGGTCACCAGAGAGCGAAAACGTGGCATGGATATGAACCGGAAGATCCGAAGATGTTGGTAATGGGAGTGTGCTGAACATCCTTGGCCGGCTAGCCTCTGGGCCCGTAGCAGGGGAACTAAGAGTGTCGAATTTTGAAGATATCAGCGCCGCAATCCCGCACTCAACATTTTTCATTTCCCTCCTCGAGCTGTCCGGCAATCGGTCGGCCTCCGGAAGCAGATCCTCAATTGCGACCCACCATTTGTCTTTCCCAGTCAGTTGAGTACCAAAAATCGATTTCCAGGTAATCTGACAAACGACAGGCTTGGAGAATTGATCGACATCCTCGTCCACATCCAGTAGCTTAGTGATAGACCATTCAAAATCTGGCTGGCTTTGAATTCCGAAGTCTATCGATTTGATTCGTCTCAAGAACAGTAGAGATGTGCGAGCTTCGTGAAAATATGTTTTCATGAGCTTGCAGACCTCATCCTCATCCACAACTGTCTTGCTGTTTCTCAAGGCGGATCCAGAAGAGCTCACAGTGTTGCGCAATGGGAAGCGGAAAATCGTCCCGGGGTAGTTGTCAAGGCTTTGTGTATAGCCCCATAATCCTTCAAATGGGACAAGTTGGTCTCCGCAAGCAATTCGCAACCTCGACAGTTTTAGTTTGACACCTGCCATACATCTTCCGTTGATCTGGTTTCTTGGTAAAACCTTTCGCTGTGGACTGGTAGTCCTAGTCAGCAACCCGTTGCGAAGATTGAGATTATTGAAACTTACTCAAGGATGAGCAACCATTCCCCAGACAGGATCATCGGGACATCTGTCCAATGATACATCGTCTGAGATCCTCGTCCAAATTGGCCAATAGTTGCCTTATCATGTGCTTTGCTACCTTCACCCACATTTTTGAAGCCTTTGAAGTCACTTTCGCTGAAAACTGAAGGATGTTTATCAGTAACATATACGTCAAATAGCCACAGATGACTTGCCTCCATCATTGTGAACCAGAAAGGCTGGCCCTTGAAACTTCATCATCTCGGGCGTAAGAAGCTTGCCGACAGGGTGTTCTCTTTTGTCCAACAGCCAGCTGATGCGTGACGCTCCTTCAGCATCATCCGCGTTTGCGAGATATTCTCTGAATGTCGTTTCAACTGGATATCGATCCAAAGTGTCTGCAATACGTGTCGTCACGTTCTCCCGCTGGTCAAACTCGTCCTCATCATCGACTTCTTCAATTTCCAATATCCCTTTGAGCAATTGCTCCCGTAGACCCCCAATCTTAAGTCGTTCGATTGTTCTACGAGGGACGTCTGGATGAGTAATGTTGACCTTTTCCTTTGGCTTTAAAGGTCCAAGATCGTCATAGTTGATATCTTGAATTGGACAGAGCTGTCCGGCTGCGCTAAGAACTTTGAGTTGAGTCAAGGAATCTCTCGGAATTCTGCTGGCTAAGTTGACGATTTCGATTGCAACAGCCACATCGGATTCTTCAAGCGGCAGTTTTGTCTCTAATATCGCCTGGACTTTTAGTAGATCAGTTAACTGTGGCTGATCTCCAACTTTAAGCTTGATAAGAAGATCTTTGTGGTCTTGCCAGAACTTGTTTTCAACGTTTGCAAGATATGGTTGGAGACGGTCGCAGCCAGCAATAGATCTCTGAGGACGGAAGGCTTGCGAAGGTGTGACGAACATCCCGCTGTTGACAAGAACACAAGAAATCCTCGTCAAATCACTGGCTAACGTATCGACAAGGCCGTTCTGGGAGATGTAGCTGAAGACTGCGTCAACAACCTTTCGATCTTTGGTCTGAACACCAAACTCGAGCTGCGAGCGCAAAACACGGCTTGGTAATATCTTATGCCAGCCTAAGCGTCTTTCCCACTCCACGGAGATCGGCATATCAAGAACCGGGAGCTGCGAACTGACTAGCAATCGATCTCTAAAGCCACGACACTCAACTGAAGTCTTCAGTGAGAGAGTGCCGCTGAGATCAACAACCGGAAGCCACTTTAGGCGTTGCAGGTTTGATCCAGCATGGCTTCCTGATGGCGTCGTCCAGGAACAGACAGATTTCAACAGCTCATGAGCCCGCATCTGTATCAGTTGTAACGAACGGTTGGTGCTTGCATAGCAGCGTATTCGATGTTCGACGACGGATTCATCCACTGTAGTCTTCAGGCCACAGCCTTTCAAGGCAGCATTAAATCTCCGAAGAAAACTTGCCTTTGGAAATATTTCTTCGTCATCGAAACAGAGTCCCTTTAGCTCAGCGACAGATGGATCAATGAGATCGGCGGCTAATGCAAACTTGGAAGTATCTTTTCCATCCAACCGAGAAATGGGAACCATAGGAATTTCTCGCAGCCTGGCTTGAAAGTCAAGAGACAGGAGAGAAAAATGGCCAAGCACGAATTCTGCCATCTGCTCTTTCCGGGAGGAGGTCCAATTGCGGGCTTTGCCACTTTGCCAGACAGGAATTATGTGATCCTGTATTAATTGAGCGGGTCCGAGACAATCGAGTCCAAGGAATTGAAGCAGTTGGCTCGAAGAGTTTGATCGGGTTGCTGATACGAACTGAACATTATCAATCTGAGGGACTGGATTGCTGTCGTCGAGAAGTCCGATAGTTTTGCTACAGCACTTCAGATTGGTCCACGTCACAACTGGCTCCCTGTAGTCCGTTAGATAGGCTCGTGAGAACTCGAAAATTGATCACAAACATTTTGTCCCCCACTTCTTTCCACGACACTTTCTGGAAAAGTGAAAGGTGACTTAAAGCTTCGACGACAGCTGTGCGGTCTGGTTCGATGAGCCCCTGAGGTGATTGCGATGCGACAAGCTTCGAAATCAGGCCTCTTTCTTCATCGGTGATGTGGTCAACCAAGGCCCATGTCCATTGCAGCCATTGAAGAAGAAACACCAGGCGTCCGGCATCTTGGACACACAGGGTTGACATGGTACCGTCGCTTTCCGTAATCATAGTAAGTCCTGATCCTCCTATATCGAGCAATGGGAACCACTTAGAGGACATCTTGGCATCCAATCTCCTCATTAGAGCATTTACTTCTCCGGGGGGAGCAAAATAAACCTGCGAGAATAATCCTTTCGGCTTGACTTTCCGATGTCTGCCATTGCTTAACGGAAGTAGCCAGAGGCAAGAAATATTTTGATCGAGGATGTGAATGTCACGCATGGATATCCACGTCCAAACTTTGGTGACAACCTCGGCAGCCTCCTTGTCCAAAACAGCGAAGTCTTGATCTTTTGCCACCCCCTTGTATATATTGCTCAGGCAATACTTGCTCAGGCAGCTGGCGGAACGAAAACGAATAGAGGGGTGGATTTTCGAGGATTCACAGCCATGTTTCAGTGCTTGTCGTGCTGGCTTTGAGAGTTTTTCCACATCCAGATTGCAAAAGTCCTCAAGGCAGAAGAGGGTCTCTTCGAAGCTGTCTCGGTGAACGTATGCGATGGATTCTCCAATCGACCGATACGTCCCATCTTTGAAAGGGAATAGATCGAGACCGTCGTAGTCGATGAATCCAGGCTTGGATAAGAGATATTCCAAGATATCGTGCTTTGTCTGATCGCTCCATGACTTGATGTGACCCCTGACACTTCTCAAGAAAGTACAAAGGCTCTGGGGGCACAGAATGCGGTCCTTGAAAACATTCTGAGATATGGGTTGAAGCCGATCTGGAACATATACGACCGGGGCTTGTGCTTCTCGAAGAGCGTTTCTCAAGCGAATTGACTCGAAACCTGTACCGAGCAGGGCAGCTTTCGCTTTTTTGTAGCCCACAGCTGTAAACCAAAGAGCGAGCGATTCCTTTTCAATGATTGCCACAACATTCTCTAAAGCGTTGCTCAAGGGGTCTCGGGCATCGCGAAGGCTTTGAGGCCACTCTCCAAAGGTTGGCTGCTCTGGGTAGAGATTCGCTATGCAGCTGAGGAGCTTCGTCCAAGCTGCTGGAACCACACTCTGCAACAACCACTGGTTCCAGTTTGCTGGGTCTCGGTCTTGAGCGCTATTGTCAGATAACCGATACAATCTCGCACGATCCGGCGAAATGCTGAAAAGGCCATGGATGTGGACAGGCTGGTTTGTTGCAATTGGCAGGGGCAAGACTGTGAAGAAAGACCCGTTTACCATCTCTGAGGATTGTATCTAGAGATATATCAGTTGACAAGTCGCTAAGGCTCCCGGAATATCGACTTACTGGAAGTTGGGCCGCAACTGCAACCCAGGGGATATAGTTCTGGTCTTTTGCCCAAGCTCTTAATGTTTCATTCATCAGATCACACTGTATGCTGTGATGAACAACGAATTTGGTGCTTGTTGTTTCTCCGGCCGATCTATGTTCAATTCCAATTTCGAAAGAATGATCGAAAGAGTATGTTGGGTTTTCGAGAGCGTATTTCACTGCATTGTTGATTTTCAATTTGTGTCTGTAAGATTCAAAAGCAATTAGCAAGAACATACTAGAAGATTAGTAAATGCCCGCCACTTACGGTCGAAGTGCTTCTGCATCTGTCAGCTTAATTTCGATCGACATACTGGCAGATCTAATTTCGAGTTTCTCAATATTTCTCATGAACAATAACCCGTTCTTCCCGAAATCAGATGCAAAACTTCGAAGGACGTCCAGGATTTCAGAAGTTGTTGTTTCCCGGGTTTGAATTTTACTTTTGACTGCCTGTGTCTGGGTGCGGAGTGGAATCCGGATAATGGTCCCGTCCAACTTCTGATCGAGGTGCTCCATAACAGTTCGAAAAGCACACATATGATTTTGGATTGCTATGTCGTCAAAGCTCTTTACAAAGTCATAAACAGGGCCACCAAGAGACCATGCATAATGTGGATCAAGGATGAGTAATTGGTTCCGTGACACGATCGAGGGCGAGTCTGTCCAATTGTACACCTGCATGATCAGTAAGTTTTTCTTGGTGCTTGACAGAAGGCACCTACAGAATTAAAACCTCGTCCGAATTTGCCAGTCGTTGAGCCATCATGGAGTTTCAAGGAGTCACCGATATTTTGAAGATTTTCAAAGTCAGTATCGGTAAAGATGGCGTTGTTGTATGCTAGGAGAGCTGGGCCTTGGTATTGTTCAAGGTTCGGATCGAGGAGTTCCTTTTTGGGATCCCCAACAGAATAGGTTGATTCGTCCAGAATAAATCGCTATGAAATCAAATCAATTATAAGGTCAACAGAAAGACGAAATTACGTACCACTTCCGTGGCACCTGCATCATCAGCGTTTTGCAACAGTTCCCGAAGTACAGTACCCCCGGCTGGATAATCTCGACATATGTTTTTGAGGGCTGTTGTCAAGCACTGAGCCTGACCATTTTGACGGATAGGCTCAACCACCATTTTTTGGAAGATATTGTGGCCTTGTGGAAGTAGACGGTTGTTAGAAGATTCGATTTTGGAGGCTGCTGGGTTTAGTTCGAACGGAAGCACTGGGGAGCTTCCAGATAAGGCTCGCGAACGATGGTTACACAAGACCAACAGGCAACAAGGCGGCCGTCAACTTGCAGGCTTTGACACACTGGATATTCGTTAGTCTGCCCTGGCTAGGCTAGAACTGCGACCTCTGTTGGAACATGAAATGCTTCTGATTCGTTAAATTTACGGTGATGGGTGGGACATCCAACTTAGGACTCTTTACAGACGGAAGTGTTCCAGACGCCACAGCCACCTCCCTCGGGCGCCAGGCAGGCGGCCGGAACTGACGAATGACAGTCCTGCAAAGCCATGCTCGATGTTAGTACCTCCGATGGACATGGGGATTGTTGCAGTTTGACATTCGAAACCCTGCAGGACCCCCGGAATATCGGCAACATTGCACTGCAAACCGTTTCAGAAGCCAATGAATGGTTCTTGGATTGACGGCCTAGTAGCGTACTCGTGGCTTGATGTGTTGTCGGGTTTTACACTCCGTAGACTGCAATGAAGGATGGGAACAGTGAAGGGAGGCGGGGTGAAGCGAGGAAGGTCCTGCTTGGGTATGGCGACCCCAGTTCCTTCTGCAGCACGTGATTGCTCTGAAGTTGGGTTCCCTTTAATGGAATGTTTTGGAAAAGGGCTTTTGCAAGGTCATTTATTTGAACAAGGAATGAAACTACTCTAATTATTCCAGGAATGGACTTGCTGTCACGGCATTGCCTGCTCTGGTCTGGATCGAGGAGTGAGACTTGCTGAGGATCTGAAACCCAATTTTGTGACCTAGCCGACATCTAGATCTGTAGTTGCGGAGAGATCTTAGACACATCTCAACGAGCCAATTCCCTGATCTTTGTCTGTTAGATGTAAGGCGGGTAGAGCATTGAAAACATAACGATAATATGTCTTCCAAACATGAACCCCCTTTTTATAGAATGGGTTTACCTGCCGACCGCCCAAACCTGCTTTCCGCCAAAATCAAAGTTCAACTTTAATGTTAATTTCTCAATTATTAATATAATTTTATACTTTATGTTTTTGGCTAAACAAAATATTCTTTAATTGAATCGTAATTTTTAAAGTAAAAGATATTACTAATATTATTTATAAAACTATGTTCTTAACTGTATTTTTTAGAATTTTAAACCTATATAAAAGAATAATTAAAGGAAGTCCTTTTATAAATATTCCTATAATCGAGAGACATACTATTAGTAAATAAGAAAAATCAATTTTTATAAAATTTGATTAGTGATTAGTATTATAAATGATGAGAGAAAAATCGGTTTTTTGCTTGGGCGGAAAGTGCGTTTGGGTGGTTGGTGGATGGACCTTCTACCTCGTATTTATTTCGGACAACTCAGCACAGCTGCAGATGCCTCACCCCAGGCGAATAGTGGTAATCCACACCCAATGACTTCGAATTTGAAAAGCCTTGAAGCTCACTTTGGTTATTATTATTATTGTTGTTATTATTGGGGTCAGAGATCCTCCAGTTCTCAAATTCATTGCACCCCTGGATAACATAAGGCTGGATCACGGCCAGGGACGCGAGGTCCGCTACTGGGTCGATCAGCCGCTGCAATCTGCATTCCAGCACGCCAAGCATGCATGCCATGCGAAAATTACAATGCACAAGACCGAGAGGCTTGATCGCGTGTCACGAAAACGAGATTAAATGGGGGGGGGGCTTGCTTTTCTTGCACGAGTTTCGCATGAACCACTTGTTCTTTTTGCCCCTCGTTTCCCCTCCAGCGCAGATATTTATTCCTACCATGACCCCACAAACACGGAGCGCATTGCGACTAAAGAACCATCGGACTGCTGCCCAATATTTATGATTGGACAGCAGCCAAAATGTCGGACGAAAAGGACCCAGCATTGTCGACGTCGACATCCCCGCCGAAGTATTCGAGGTACAGATCCGTCAGACAGGCTGTGAAGAAGGAGGAGCCTTTGCCAAAGCAGAGCCCAGAGCCTGAGATGGCGCGCACGAAGAGCATGTCTCGTTATCGACGGACAAGACCTGTGGCCACGCCCGAGCAGATTGCGACCCTGCCGATGCCCTCTGTTCCTCCAATCCCTAGGGCAAACGCGCACGGGTTTACTTCGAATCCTCCTGCGCAGAGAGATGTGACGAGAAGAGTGACGGAGCCCATACAAAACCCGCAGAGGCAGAAACGGCTTTCCTCGAACAACCCAGGTCGCCTGCGCCCTCAAGAAACCGACGATGAACGTATGCGCCGGGTGGGCAGAGAGGCCCATGAACGAGAGGAACAACGGCGGAAGGTGCGCAAGGAGCAGGAAGAACAGGATCGTATGACTCGACAGCAAAAGGCGGAAGAAGAGGCGGAACTGAGCAGAAAAGCTGAGGAGGCTGCTGCGAAACGACTGGCAGAACAGAAGCGCAAAGATTTGGAACGGCTTCAAGCTGAGCTCGATGCTGCTGTTCCTACTTCCCCGCCTCCTCCCACAAGTCCGAGAGAGAAATTGCGCTTCTTTTCGAGAAAGAGAGCTCAGACGAGATCGAGTCCGCCACCAATAGCGAAGAGAGAATCTGAGAGTACATCGTTATCCACTACGAAGAGCAATGAACCGCCTCGAGGGATTGAGCAAGGCGGAGGCGGACCGCAGATTGACGCCCCGGTTTCTGCATCGAATGCTGGTGAACGAGTGAGTTGTGTCTCTGAAATTAATATGTCAAAATTTCTAACTCGATGTGCAGAGAGTCCTCATCCGATGCAAGCAATCCTCGATCAATCTTCCAATTACTCCCGAAACTACACCTGTCGAGATCATCTATTCCGCTGCCAATATTATGACACAAAATATCAATCCCTCAACAGCCATTTTACTCGAATCATATGCACCCCTTGGCCTGGAGCGTCGTATACGTCGATACGAGCATATTCGAGATGTCATGAACTCGTGGGATCGGGATACACAAAATGCTCTCTTGCTACAAAATTCGGATACTCCCAAATTCGACATAGATCTGGAGACGTCGTCAGTACCAAAAGAAGCCCCACAATCTGTCACGGTATATATGTACCATTCCCAGAAACCCGGGAAATGGAACAAGCGATATATCACCTTACTTCCATCTGGTCAAATTTTTATGTCTAAAAAGACAGGAGCTAAAGCTTCAGAGAAGGACTCCGTCAGTCTATGCCACTTAACTGATTTCGATATATATTCCTTGACGCCTCAGCAAATACGGAAGAACCTCAAGCCGCCAAAGAAGCATTCTTATGCTATCAAAAGTCAGCAGAAGACAGCGATGTTTCTGAATACTGAAAACTTCGTACACTTCTTTAGCACAGATGATGTGACACTCTCTGAGAAATGGTATACAGCCGTCCAAAAATGGCGAAGTTGGTATCTAGTGAACAAGAAGGGCGATGGGAAGACAGAGAACAAGGGCAAGAAGGTCACAGAAGTGAGCGCCGAACTTCGACCAGGTACAAGAGGAGGACCTACACACACCGTCAAGGTCTCCGTTGATGAGAATCCCTACATGATAGGCTCTTTTGCACCTCTCATGAACCTCGACCGCTTCGGCTCAGGAGACGACTACGATTCTGACGAGGAGAGCCGACCACGCCAAATCCCCTTCCACCTCCGAAACAGCCTCTCCTTGTCTCCACGAGAAAGCAAACGCCATCCACCACCAGTCTCCTATCGCATGCCACTAGAGGCAGAAGATCAATTCTCATCCTCAGGTTTGCTAGGACGAACCTATTCTCAACGGCAACCTCAAAGGGAGAGGGACGCCGCAGCAGATAGCCTATCAGGGGGTCTATCCAACGATCGTGGACTCCTCAATGGAGGCTCGGGGCGCACATTCTCCATGAAATCGAGTCGGACGAAACGGCCGGAAACATCAGCGGGCGCAGGAGGTGGACTTCAACGAGGACCGACTCAGAAGAAGCCAAAGCCGTTACTGGATTTCACTCCGCAGCTTAAGGAGGCGCCGCAGTGGGATAAGACTGGGAAGGGCCATGGCGTTGCGGCGCCGGAAGGGATCCCATTAGTAGAGGCGGCGACGACGCCAGATAATCCATTGGCTGATGTTCCAAAGCCGACAGTGTTTAGGAGGGATCAAGCGAGACCTGCAATGGCGAGACCTGCTACGGCGAGACCTACTACGTCAGGGGAGGGTGCTTTTGTGAGAGGCGGGTTGGTCAGCGGGCAGAGTGTGATGAATAGGGGGAGAGTGGTTTGTGATTCATGATGACGAAGGACTGATTGATGTGAACGAGGTGATGGATGTGTTCTTGTATATTGTGATATCATTTCAGCATTGGGCAGTGGGCATTTTATACACCCTTTCGGTTGATGTTAGCATGATGGTTTGGGAAGGCACCGGGATGTTGCATGATTATCAAGAAAGCATTCATGGCGTTGGACAACCCAAACTTGTAAACCATCTTGAGAATTTGAAACCCAATACCTAGCATTCGAAGTGGCTACATTCCTATCCGCAACCGGTACGACCTCTCACCGTCTTACGACTTGTCTTCAAGCCTTTCACGATCCCGTGATCTTCCTTCAACCAATCAACATTCTGATCCGTTTGGGCGCATCTAGTGGTTTGGTACGCAGCTGCATAAGAATAAACTAACAACATTCAAAATTATGACTCACTCCAAAGACAAGCTATCTCATCGATTCCATTCCATTTCTCCCAAGATTTTTCTTTACACCTCTCCACAAAATCGGGCTCCCCACCCCACCTTTCGTCCCATACGAAGTAGATTCATCCATCCCTTACTATCAACCTTCATTTCATCACTTCGTCCTTTCCTCACTTTTTACCCCTATTCGAACATAGAATTGTCTTCACACACACAACAGATCTAAAACATGGCAACATCAGCATCACCTTTAGAAGTGACAATTACTCAGATTACAAAGGAGGAAGACTTCCTCCCCCTCGCCGCCATCGAAGAAGCAGCCTTCACCGGGCCCCAAACAACGCTCTTCTACGGTGCGTCCGCGTCCCATGACCCATCCATCGCAGCAGCTCGCCATACCCGCATCTTCAAAACCGACCCTACCGCTCTCTATTGCAAAGCCTGTCTACCCTCTGGGCAAACCATCGGGCTAGCAAAATGGAATCTCTTCAAAACAGCAGGTCCCCATTTCCCCTGGCCTACCTCCGGTTTCGCGGGGGATGCGAATGTGGAACTTTTGAATTGGTTTTTTGGGTGCTTGGATGAGAAGAGGAATGCGTTTATGGTTCCGAGGGGAAAGGGGTATCTTTATATGGCGCTCCTGGCGGTTGATCCGAAGTGTCAGAGGATGGGTGTTGGCAGGAAATTGTTGGAGTGGGGACTAGAGAAGGCGGATAGGGAGGGGCTGGAGTGTTGGATTGAGGCGAGTCCGGCGGGGAAACCGCTGTATGAGAAGGTGGGGTGGAGGGAGGTAGGGTTTACGGACGTGGAGTTGAGGCGGTGGGGGTGGACGGGGGAGGAGAAGGTTAGCAGGACGGTTAGTATGTTCAGGGGGGTTGGGGGGAAGAGTGAGGTGTGAGAGGTGAGTTAAGGCGCTCTTTTGTGGGTTGGTGCTGGTTGGGTGTTTTGACGGGATGAGTCCTTGAGGTGATAAGATTGTGAGGGGAAGAGGGCGGTAAAAGAGTGGATCTTGGATCTTTTAGAGTTATCTTGGACTTTCGGTGTCTAAATACGCTTTGGTGTGAAGAACAAGAATATAAACCATGGTAGATAAGGTTATAAAACGTTCGACTTCTGATACGATAATAGACAATATACCATTTAAATAATTGGTAAAGAAAAGAGATTACAGATCAATCATAAGTTCTATAGCCCTAAATTATAAGAAAGTAATCTTAAATATTTAAGTTCAGCGGCAATGCCAGCAGCGTTGGAGAGATGTTCATGCGGGGTGAAGGAGGGGCATCTTTTGACAATAACGAGAAATGCATACCGAGTATATCCAATGAGTCAATTCTTATAGAACCTACGCTCTTGCCTGCTACCTCATATCGATGGAGAAGGCTCCATAATGAGAGAGTCGATTCTCATTGATAAACAGATTGCTTTTCTGGGAGGACTGCCCCTGTCGGCTGGAAAAGGCTAAACGCGGGGTAACTGCGGGGTAATGATCTATCAGGAGAGCTTCCAGTTGGAAACCCCCACTTCACATCGACAACCTGAGCTACTCATCTGTAAACTCAAAGAGCTTCTCTGAACCCCTCCGCATCAATCCGATATTCAAGCATTCACACACACTTCAACTCACACCTCTCACCATGAGCTCAACCCGCCCCAAAACCCTCACAGTCTCGCTCCCCGAGCTCGCAAAGATGATCGACCACTCCCTTCTCCATCCAACTATGACAGACGACGATGTAGCCGCCGGTCTCGCCATCTCAAAAAAGTATTCCGTCGCCACCGCTTGTGTGAAACCTTACCACATCCTCTTCGCCAAAAAGCTGCTCGAAGGTTCCTCCGTTCTCATCTGTCCTGTCATCGGGTTCCCGCATGGGAATAGTACGACGGAGGTCAAAGTGTTTGAGGCAAGTAGAGCAGCGGATGAAGGAGGCAAGGAGATCGATATGGTGGTTAATGTAGGTAGGGTGTTGAGTGGGAAGTGGGAGTTTGTCAAGGGGGAGATTGAGAAGGTTAATGCTGCTGTTGTGGAGAGGGGTGCTATTCTAAAAGTCATATTCGAGAATGATTGTAAGTACCGAAACCCTTTGATTCAAGATTTATGAGGGAAGGTGACATACATGAGTTGTTGACTGATATGAGATAGATCTGGGAGAGAAGGAGATCATCAAGCTATGTGAGATCTGCACTGAAGTCGGCGTGGCGTTCGTGAAAACGAGCACGGGGTATGGATTTGTGAAGCAGCCGAATGGCGATTACAATTATAAGGGGGCGACGATTGAGCATTTGGAGTTGATGAAGAAACATGTTGGTCCAAATATGAGGATTAAGGCTGCGGGAGGTGTGAGGACGTTGGATGATTTGCTGAGGGTGAAAGCAGTGGGTGTTGACAGGGTTGGTGCCACCGCCACCGGGGTGATTCTAGATGAGGCGGTTAGGAGAGGAATAGGGGCTGAGAGGGTGGAGGTTGAGGTTCCGCCTTTTCCGACGGAGCAAGAAAGTGGCGGCTATTGAACATTGACAAGGAGAATAGTCGCGTTGATGAATAATGGGAAATGAATAATATGAAGTGACGGTTTTACAACGGGGTTTCACATAAATTGTTGACAAGGTACTCAAGAGTCGGAAAGAAGAAAGTCACTTATAGATCACTCTTGATATTTAGCTTTAAGCGACAATAGACTTGCTTCATATCTCAAAAATAAACATTACCATTATACAAATTAGATGAGAGCTCGATATACCGGGGGAAATGACCTCAGGATCTCCCATACTCACTCATTATCTCCCACAGATCCCTATTCCCTCACCCCTCTCTTCAGATCTCAATCTCCGGTGTCCGCGGTACCTCTGTAACTGTCACGGTAGGCACCTTCGGAGTACTCGAATCTGCAGTCGTAACTTCCCCTCCCTCAAGCGCGCTCTTTGTCGGAGACGAAGAGCCAAACGGCCAGAATATCTTGCCGATAGAGCCCAAAACACTGCTTCGCTTTTCGAGAGTTGGTCTTTTCGGTGGTGGTTGCTCAGTTGTTGGAGCCACAGTTTCAGCTGGGGCTTCAGTCGTAACTACCTTTGAAGCTTCAGCGCTGGGAATAGATGGGGTCTCAGAAAGCGTAGCCGCATCCGGCTCAGAAGCCACCACTTCCACAATTTTCTGCTTCGAGGATTCGACGGCTGGGGTTGGAGGCGGGAGATGAAGAGCAAGGGTCTCTGTTATCTGCTTTATGGCCAGGTGCAAGGTGTCGATTTCTGTGGAGAGGTCAGTGAGGCAGTTCAGAAGTAAAGAGGAAACATACTTTGATGAAGCTGATCTAGACTCTCCTGGGAGATATTCGCCATGGGCTTTTCTGGGGAAGTAATAGGCTCTTCGTTTGTGGTTTTTGTGGTGACCGTTGTCTTGGTGATAGATGCTGCAGCGGCAAGGACGAGAGGTTTGGATTCTGGTTGGGAGGGTGATGGCTGCTGCTCTGGTGTGGGAACAGGGGCTTTTTTGGCCTTTTCGGGTATTGGGATTGGCTTTGCGGCCACCTCGACAGCTTTAACGACACCTTGGGCGGGCTCGCCATTTGTGGTTTTCGTCGCCGTCATGGCCTTGCTGATCGATGCTGATGCCGCAATGATGGGAGGTTTGGATTCTTGTTGAGAGGCTGAAGACTGCTCTGGCGTGGGGATTGGGACCCCCTTTGCTTCCACAGTTGTTGGAGTTGGCTTTGGTTCGGATTCTGACTTGACTTCGACTTTACTGGAAGATTCCTCAACCTCCTTGGGAGCACTTGGGGCTGCTTCAGCTGATGTACCTTCATGCTTCGTGGACTTGGCAGATTCTTCCGTTGCTGGTGCTCCTGAGATCTCAGGCTTGGTCAACTTTTCCTCCAATGGATGTTCTGTATTCTCATGGCCGTTGGTGAGCGCACTTGATGTCTCGGTTTTTGGTGCATCCTTAACTGCCTCGATGGGAGCGATCTTTACATCCGATACCCCCTCTTTTGCAAGACCATTCTCCTTCGCGCCATCAGCACCTTCCTTTGCTGCTTTTGCTGCTTTCTCTTTTGCCGCAGCGTCTGAGATGTCCTTGCCAATGGCTGCCCCAATCTTCTTTCCTTCGTCTGTAGCAATCTTAACAACCGTCTTCTTCATAGAATCCGAGGCCATCTTCCCCACAATCGCGATTGCTCCCGGAAGAAGCTCGGGCTGGACAAACGATGCCGCACCAACTGCAGCAGCCAACACTCCCCTGGATCTGTTAGTCATTTGTAAAATTGGAAAACGGAAACCATTCTCACTCAGCGATCAGCTCAGGGTGTGCCTCAACGGCTTGGACAGTCTCGACCACGCCTTTCACTACCTCCTTCTCTACAACTACGAGACCTCCCTCTATCGTTTGCAGCAGGCTCGGATCTTCCTCGCCAGCAGCTGAAGCCACTTCTTTAGCTAGGCCATCTTGGACATTATCGATATCTTCAGCAACGCCGGATACAATTTTGGAAACTACTTCGGATACAGACACTTCTTCTGCCTTCACCCCCTCAGTTTTCGCCTGCATCTTGTCAGTCTCATCTCATCACAAGTGTCATGTAAATGTGGGTATTCTCACAGAGGGAGTGACGGCCGGGGCTACTGTAGTTGGAGCATCTTGGCTACTGGGGACTACCTCGTCGGTTTCAACTTTCTTCGCGTCGCCAGATGCAGTTGTACTGGCACTGGGGACAGCCTCCTTGGCCTCAACCTTCGTCACGTCGGCAGATGCGCTCGTACTGGGAGCGTCTTGGCTACTAGGGACCGTCTCTTTGGTTTCAATCTTCTTCGCCTCATCAAATACTGTCGCAGTGGGGGCATCTTGTCCGCTGGAGACAGCCTCGTTGGTCTCAACCTTCTTCACATCCACAGAAGCGCTGGTACTTGCAGCATCAGGGCTTGGTTCTGTGGAGTCAGGAATCTCTTTCTCGGTCTGTTTGGAGTCAATTTCAGAGCTAAAGAGCAAAGCGGCAAATCTCACAGCTTGGGTTATCTGGGAAGTGGTAGCTATCGTGCTCCACACAGCCTCCTCACTCTCTTGGGCAGGCTCCTGGGGCGTGCTGGTTTCGGCTTTCTTACTTTCTCCCTCTTCGGTGTGAATAGCGGCAGGAGGGGTCCAGAGAGATGGTTTCGATTCAGTCGTCACGTTTTCAGTCTAGTTGATCATCAGCTCACATGCCCGTTATCAAAGTTTCGAGGAGGCGGGGTTTCTCACCGCCAGAACAGTTTCAACACTCGAAGCCATCTTCCTCAGCCACAAATTGCTACGTTCGCTTCACAAAGGTGATTAATAGGGGAGAAATTATCTCAAGGATCTGTGCAATTTAGGTCGTGGCATCGCCAGGAAGTCGCAGTGGAGAAAGTCAATCAGGAGCTGAGATAAGAGTGAGACATTGGGTGGTGGGACAACGGAGGAGTCAGCCTTGGCGGGTGGGGGCGACGCCACCAGCACTTCGTAGCGAGCTGAATACGGTAGAGGTCTCGTGGGCTTGAAGATATCTGACTAATTACAAATTCTCCGACGCATGCGGAGAAATCGAAAAAAGAAAATGTCCTCTCGGAAGCTCCCGTTTGTGTTTTTAAAATGAATAGAAAGGAGAATCATTGCGGGGAAGGAGGGCGGTAAGCTTGAGGGACCTCCGCAGATTTTGAGCACAAAATTTAGGAACTTTGTTGCAAAATAGGGGCGTGAGGAGGTCACTCGGCTAAGGATAGAGGCGCAGTCGCTAATCGGCCCTATAGCGGGTCTCCGGGATGTCACGGGTCTAGCTCTCAGGCTTATTTCCAACTCCCACTCAAAGCACTTCCAAATTGTTGACAAACGACTTTGAATAGCATCAAAGACAACCAGAAAACCTTATTAACATGTTTCGTTTCTCTTTTCAAATCATAGTTCACTAGATTTGGCTTTAGGAAGTGTTGTGAATGAATTTCGGTTAAGTGACTGGGCGCCGGGTTTGATATATAAAGCCTTCCAAATCTCATTTGAGTTCTCCTAAATCATTAAGCGCATTGAGAATAATACGACCCCATCGCCTTACACGTCGTCCCAAATACACAATTTGACGATCCCTTCCATCCCTGCCCACCGCACTGCCCATACTTCTGAACCACAGCCCCGACAGCCGAAGCAGCTGGCTTTGGAACCACAGCCAGGGCCCTCGCCTGCACTGCAGAATCACAGCGATGGTGGGAACTTGAACAGGCGGATTTATTCCCAGGCTGAACTGGGCCGGAGGGAGGGCTTGAGTTGCTGCTACCGCCGGCGCTGCTGCGTTGTTGCCACGTCCTGGACTTATGACCCTTCAACTCGATTAATCGATTGAGAATCCCTGGGATCCAAAGGAGGATGCATGCAACTGGTAAGCTTTGAAAGGAAGAAGTTTCTGGATGTGCATTTCTCTAGCAGTTCGTCCACTTTTCTGGTCGTAGAGACGCCCAACGAACCGTCACTCGGAATAATGACTAGATCAGACCAAGCAGCGGTAAATTTTTAATACTGCAAAAAGTTGAACCAGCTCAAGCCAAGCGGAGATCAGAAACCCCAATCCTCCTTGATCAAATCCGACCCCTTCTCTGCAACAGCATACATCGTACTCTGAATATTCCCAGAAACATGCAACGGGATAACACTCGCATCCACGACTCTCAGCCCCCTCGTACCCCACACTCTCAATCTCTCATCCACGGCGCCCACCCCCTTCTTACCCATTCCAACACTCCCCAAAGGGTGATACTCTGTACAAACATTCTCCCTCGCAAATCTCTTCCTCTGCTCCCTATCACTCAGATCCAAGCTCTCATCCGGGTAATATCTCCTCTTAATCTTCTCCTTAAAAGGACTCGTTTCCGTCAACTTGAGACAAAACTCCAGGCCTTTCGCCAAGATTTCCACATCCGCTTCGTGGGCAAGGAACGCGGGGTCGACAGCCGGATCATCTTGTGGATTGCTGCTCGTGATATGCACCGAGCCAACTGATACTGGTCTTGCTACAGCAACCCCGATACAAATTCCCTGCTTGCCTTCCATACCAGGATAACCCGCAAACATTGCAGCCTGAGAATCACCTCGTGATATATTGAGAGCAGCTGGCAAGAAGAGGTATTGGAACGTTGAGTCGTCGGGGTTACCGAGGGCCGCTGCTAGCAACTTCTTCGCCTCCATCGTGTGTCCTTCACTTGCCGGATCTGAGCTGTCGAGGATCAAGGTTTGTAACACTTTGACTTCTTCAGGTGTGGCGAGATTTGCGAAAGAGGCAAAGCCTGTTGCTGAGCCGCCGCTCGAGAATGGCCCTGTCTTTTTAGCCATGTATTCTTCCAGGCATTTTCGGGCGACGATGGGATCTTTGAGTGCATCCATGCTCTCCTCTCCGTCGGCTAGTTCCAAGGTGAAGCCCACGGTGGGGTGATCTTGAAAATTCTCCCCAACGCGGCGGTTTTCGACTTGACATTTGATACCTGCCTTGGCTAAGACGTCTGGGTTGCCAATACCTGAAAGTTCTAGGATTTGTGGAGTTTTGAAAGCGCCTGCACTTAGCACAACTTCTTTTTTCGTCTTGACAGAATACAAATTTCCCAAGTGGAGGAATTCAAGACCAGTGACTGATTCATTGTCCACGACTACTTTGGAAACAAGCGCGTCTGTCAAAACGTGGAGATTGGGTCGCGATGCATTGGGAAGGAGATACCCCGTTACCGCATAGCTCCTTGTTCCGTCTGCATGGCTGGCGCTTTGGTTGATAGAGCTGAGAGAGTGGAAGAAACCGATATGGTCTCCACTCCACCCATCCTTTGGACTTCCCATTCTCACCCCGAGCTTCGCACTCGCTGCGATCCATTCCCGTTCCTGTCGCACTCTCCATGTGCTGAAACTTGTGTGGATGGGTCCATCGATCCCATGAAAATTAGGGTCGTAGGTGGTTTCCAGAGGAATATTGTTCTTAGATGCATATCCTGAGGGATCATCGAAATGTTCATGCTTTTTGAAGTATGGCAGCAGATCCTTGAAACTCCAGCCTTGATTGCCCAGCCTCTCCCAATCGTCGTAGTCAAGCGCCTGGCCACGATTGTACATTTCGAAATTGATAGCACTTGATCCTCCCAAACCTTTCCCTCGAGGATGGTCGAATACTCTGCCATTGAGCGCTTTCTGCAATTGCTGTCAGTAAAAATGTAACTTTGAATGTAGATTCACTTGCCTGGGGCGTAGTGCGTTGGAGCCAATCATACTCCGGATTGCCGACCATTTGAGGGTACAGAGCAGGCGTCATAATCATCGGATCGTTGAGATGGGCTGGGCCGGCTTCGAGGACACCAACATGTATGTTTGGGTTTTCTGTAAGTCGGGTGGCTACAACGAGGCCGGCAGTTCCGCCACCAACGACAATGAAATCATAGTCAATCTAATAGGGTGCTTGAGTTGTGCCTCTTTTGATGGGCCATATTCCTACCTTAAGAAAGTCATTGACAGAGACCAAACAAGGAATGCTAAATTTTGACATCCTGGAGAACCAGTTGGAGTTAAAAAGTCAATCGAGTTGGAATATGCGCAATGCACAGCGATGATGAACAGAGCGTTTCAGCGAAGTCTTGGCGAAAGAGATTGACAAATCCTCACTTTGAAAGCAATTGCTGGGCTGTAAGTAGTATATTTCTGTGGAGTGGGTTCAGGTCGTGTATTTATACACAAGGTCCCGCATCATGGCCGAGGTACGGATCTATGGAATAGACCAGCACGCAGATCACAAGGCTACACCAACGGTTTGACGTCGTACTGGGCCGCATGGTCCGCTCTGGATTTCCCCTTTTGATGTTCGAAGCAGGGATAGGAAAATTATATAATAGGACTTGATCGCACTAATATTATCTCCTTACTAAGCTTAGACGGGGATTGCAGCTCCGAGTAAGAATATCGGAATTTATACCTTAGAGTATGCCTGGTTTATACTTGACTTATATTTAGAGCATATATAATCTTATCCAATGAGTTATGCAATACGTATTTAACGACTTGATTATAATACAATTGCGCCGGACTTGATTATTATATAACGGACGTAATTACAAATCGCCCATCCCTACGTAGTGTAGGTCGAAGACAACTAAATCTCGGAGACTTCCCCAATGATCTCGGATCGGAAAAGTCGGGCGGGAACTCAGGGGAGGCAATTATCCCCCTGACAGGTAGTAAGAACTAACTCTATGCATTGTGGTGAGACTTAGCTATCCGCATTTGTGCCTGCTTCGATCTTGGCTCTCGTAAGGTCCAACAGCTTTCCGCTTTGCAAAATAACGATCCAAAGTGAAGGCGTGATGAGTCAATTTTGACGCCGAGTAACATACTCATCGAGGATCATGAAGATGAACTGGATACTTGCACAACCGAGGATGCGAGTAACTCAATTCCAAGTAGCGTAGCAGTTAACGGGGCGGATCGTTATCACTGGTCAGAGGATTCTTATTAAAAGGATCGAGGGCATGGATTATTTCCCGAACAACGAAGTTTGAAAGATACTCAAGTTGGGACACTGGTCCTGTCGAACGCAAGTTCATTCCATTTCTCAATTCAGCTGCGGTTTGTCGACATTCCAACGTCATTGCTAGAGAACTTTTGGAACACGGAGCTGACTTGCAACAAAGAATTGGCTTCCAAATTCACGCCCAACTGTAAGAACAACCTCAATGTCCCAGAGATTTTTTGGGATATTGAGCGGATGTGCTGCAAAAGCTTCGGATGCAGAACTCACTCTCCACGGGAACACTGAGCACCACAATACGGCTGAATAAGATCTCGGGTATTTCACTTATTGTATGAGCAATTACCACTTGCACGTAAAAAAGCGTCGTTAAATTCATCCCAGAGACCTCCAAACAGAAGCCTGAAAATTTACACTAACGCAAGAGTGTGGTCACTCTTGAGTTTGCCTGTGACTCCTAACGAAGCCTCTTCGCCAACAACGGCTGGGCCCCTGGCATAGATCTGGAAGATGTCAGCAAATACTTCAACGTCAAGATTTCTTTGTGGCTTACTTCTCCTGTCGAGACCTCATCCGTAGTCTTGTGCTCGGAAGTATCTTTGAAGAGAATCTCACAACTGGTTACCGGCGCTCCGAAATGAGAGTACTTCTCCGATCCGTCAACTCTGTAGTCGTAAAGGCCAGTTTGAGTGACTGCTCCAGCAACCTTTGCAGCAGTAAGTGCATAAATAATTCTGGCTCCAGTGTATATTCTCAGGTCTGATAGAGTTTCCGCACTCAAAGGTGTACTGACCACACCAGCCTGCTTTGCAACGTAGATTAGGCGAAGTTTGCCAGGCGTGGTTCCAATGATAGGACGGAGGGAATCGTACATTCGCGAGAATGCAGACGCCACTGGCATGACCCCATCCTGAACAAGTGAACGGGCTTGAAACCAGTGGACCATTGAATAGACAGTGGAAGACATCTTATCTTGGGACTCTTTGTGTGTAGTCGCAAGCGCTTCTGGCGTTGCCACAATGATTGTAGGAGCAATGCCTTGAGTGGCTATGCGAAGATCGGAGGTTTGGCCAGCAACTGAATTCAATGCGACTGAAGCGTTCGAGTAAAGGGCCGCAAGCATCAAGACTAAAGGATAGATTGTTGATAACGAATCGACAGGAAGGAAGAGGTCAGCATGGGTGATACGTTGCGTGGTCGGAATTGATGTAAGTTGTCCGGCAATTCCAGCAATCAAGTTGGCCTGGGTGTACTCGACGAGTTCTCCACTGGGCCAGAAAGCAAGAACTTTTCTCAGCTCACCCGCTCTATCAACAGGAGGAAGCTCTGTCCCCACGGTCGGTTCTTGATCTTGGATAATCTCCTGCCATGTTGAGACGTTGACAGCTCCCCCAGTTCCCTTGGGAACTTCATTCCAATCCATATGCTTGCTGCCTTCGTCCACAACCCAGACCAGCTGCTTCAATGCAGGATAGCTTTTCGTTATGGCATCAAAGGGGAAGGACCCCACGGCAGCTATCACGGTGTCCGCTTTGCATGCCTTAAGCAAAAGTATGATCTTCTCGATTGGTTGATCATAGGGGGCGAGAATAGGGGTCAAATCGTAAAAGGCGCATGCAAACAAAGCGGTTAGGAATTCGATAGAGTTTGGAAGAATGATTGCGATATTGTGGCCACCATTTTGCTTCAGATGTTGACCGATCAGGTTAATTTGTCGAGTTATGTCAGCTATGTCTGTCAGCACCCAGCTATTGACGTGAAGACACACGGTACGTACCTAGATTGTGTTCGATGACCTGCTCCGAACCCAGGACTGTAAATAGTTTTCCAATCTCCCCAGTCTTGTTGCCTTCGCGATCCAGGCCCCCAGCGACAACTCTCCGCCAAACATCTCTCAGATCTCCATCTCGACCTCTGGCCCACTTTGAATCACCGGGGTCCTTGATGTTGAGACCAGCGTTCAGGGGAATGCCATGAGGCGCGGAGTGTGACCGGAAAACCGCGGACTCTCCTTCTTTCCTAACAGGAGAAGGTTGCGCCTGCCGAGCCAGTAGCATAGGGTGGGCATCTGGGTCGCGGGAGGAGACGACTGTGTAGATCCAAACGCTGATGAGAACGGCAAAGATGCCTGTGGTGTAGATGTCCCATTGTCCTAGAACATGCGTGACGGTCTCGTCAAGCTTCAACATGAAGTTGTCCCCTAGACCCATGGTACCAGAATGTGAGAATCACAACAACAAGGTTATCTGCATTGAATGATGTTTGGAAGGTGTTGTCAGAAAGTGCCAGCAAGCCAGACGAGTTGAGTTCAGCCAGCCTCCATTCGGACCTTTGGAGGGGCACGTTCCGGTGCACGCTAAAACTGCAGGGAATAGAAACGCCTGCCGCGAATTTAAGGTACGGCGAATCTCTAGGAAAACAATCCAACAACCGGCGACTCGATCTCTCGACAATGCCGGCTTAGGACCCCTTCGGAACTCGATACTCCTACTAATATCTAGGTACTAACCAGTGGAAGAGGCGCTACTCACGGCTGTGACATACTTCGCGAGGACGGTGGGTATGCCGCACCGTTTGTTGACATTCAACAACAGAGCATTGAGACTGACAGCTCCACAGTTCAGTGGTAGAACACGAGCAGCCTGCGAATACCTCAGCTCTTCGCAATGTCGACTCCTGTCCGTCCTTCCACTCCAGTTACACAATCAGCTCCTTCCACCCCCACAACAGGCACATGGAAACACCCGAAGCTAGATGAGATTGTGAGGAGGCAGAATGCTGCTAGATTCTCCGCAGACGACGTGAAGAAAGTGCTATACAATGTTGCTGGCATCGCGGCGGTCTGCTTGCTAGGGCGCTCAGTGTGGGATAGGTGTGTATCTGCGCGACCAGCTTCCAATGGCTCTGCTGACGAGATAGCTTTCCGGCCATGTTCCACCCAGGCAAGGCCCTCCAACCCTACGCAGATTACGTCTACCACTCCTTGAACGTTGTCTTCGTCTTCAATATTATCATGGCATGTCTACCTCTCTTCCGAAGCAGGGATGACATCTCCGATATAGCCTTGACTCCAGGTCAGCGCAAACTTATGGGCCTACCACCTATCTCAACGCCTCCAACTCCTGGCTCGCGATATATCACCCCGCCGAGATATGCCAGAACACCTACGCCTTTGAGTGGCTCACCAGCAAGCAGGGGCAACTATTCGGGATCACCTCTGTCAGGCAAGGGAAGCCCGTCGTCAGGTAGTATGTCGGGGACGCCGTTCTCGCCTGGGGCAAGTCCGTTATTGCAGAAGGCGATGGGTGGAGGATTGAATGGGAACAGGAGACATTCGTACGGCTCTCCAAGTCCGTTAGGGCCAGGAGTACCCAGAGTGCCAGAGACGCCTGGAACGCCCAGTCCGACGGCGAAGGGTGTCAACGTGGGGTTAAATAGCAAGTGGCTTTACGACAAGACGAGAAGGAACTCCGGAAATTCAAGGCTGTATACATAGATGGTTTTGATGGGGAGAATGATTTTGTATGATTGAGCAGATACCCTTCAGCTTCGCTTTGGCAGAATCCAAGCATGAGTTGAGCCATAGAACTTTCTACCGATAAGATATGGGTGCAAAACATTCCAGGAGATTTACATCAGTGATTCTCAAGCCAAATCCCATGGAAGTGAGCTTTGCTATTTGGTCACGTTGTCCCTCGGTTTCCGGCTCACGTGGAGATACGAGTAGCCGGGATGTGCCAAACAGATAACCCTCTCTTTCTCATCGAAACAATACAACTGATGACCGGTGCAATTCAACATGGGGGCCTCCGATTCGAAGCTTGTCTTCAAGCAGGGTATCTTCAGGCTCTCTGAAGACAAAATAATTCCAGCGGATGATCCTTATTGGGCTTCGGTAGGTTTCGTTGCTGTCGCCAGGAATCCAAAGAGCAAATACTGATCAGGACACTATACAGTTCTGGGAGCTCCCAGAGTCCACTGAAGATATATTCAGTCTCTTCTCACCTAACGATATCAGGAGGACTCGAGATACGGCGCTGGAGAACCTCGAAACCCTGATATTAGCAATCACGAGTCGCCTGTTCATCCTGCGACATCATCCTTCATTCCCCGACCCCGAGTTCGCGCCTGAGAGAGATGCGTTAAACTGCATAAGAATCCTGACCCGAATTCTACCATACATATATGAGGCGGAGCAGTTACAGCCATGGGAGGACAGGTTCTTTTGGGGTGTGAGGAGGAAACGGACACGGTAGGTTTCCAGACCAGGTCGGAGTCGCAGACTGACCCTCTGTCAGAAAAGCAGCTTTGGCTCGCGATGTACTCTTCGACGAATCACAAGAAGAGCTTGCGAAACTCGAAGCAGCGGGCGAAGAATTTGAGGAGGTGAAGCCGTTGGCAGAGGAGCTGATCGATACCCTGATTGACCTGCTGTTTTTCGCCGATTTCACGTTGCCAAGACCGCAGAATACCAAGAACAAAGTTACATATGCGATATGGCAGAGTGGTGTAGGATGCAATACTTCTGTTGGAACGACGAAAGAATTCGAGAGCAATCGGACAGAGATATTGAGGCTCCTCTTGACGCTGACCAGCCAAAGCATGTACATGTCCGCCAATCTGCTACCGGTTCAAGGAGTCAAGGCTATCAGCTATATTGTCACATGCCCGGACAAGCAAGTGGTTCTGTCCACGCTTTGCTCATTACTGAATACTGTAAGAGCCAAGAGCAATGGTGGAAATGCTCCTGCTGACACAAGCAGACCCTCAAGTACAACCCTGCAAGTTGGAAGATACCGTACAATGTACAGGTATTCAAGGACCCGAAGCAGATATTGGTCACATATGCCTTACAGGTGGGAGGTGAACCAATCTTGTACCAAGTGGCGACTAACATCAGCAGTTTTTACTCGTGATCCTGCTTTACCCAATACCAGAAACCGATCCAGCTCATGCGAAGAAGAGTGCGATACCTCCCACTAACACTTATTTTTACCCCCGCTAATACGTGTTAAGATTTTTACCGGCACTTTCTTGGCCGATTACACAGACCGCAAGATTTCCAGTTCATCACTGATGGAATGACCAGAATTCTCAACGCACCTCTCAACGCCAGCAGTTCTTACATCCCTGGAAATCCCACAAAGTTCACATCTGAGATGATCATGCTCTTTTGGGAGATCACTCAATGCAACAAACGCTTCCGGTCTTTCATTATTGACACTGGGAGATCACATGACTTTTTAGTACTGATAATATTCTACGCTATCGAGTACAAGCTCGATTCGTCGAAGCAAGGAGTTGTCAGGATGTGTGTATTCTTGCTGCAGACGTTAAGTGTCGAGCCAAATTTCGGCAAGAGCCTCAACAAGAGATTCGAGGCTCAAGAAACCCTGCCACCGACGATCAGGTTACAGAATTTCAATGGCACGTATGCCGACTTCCTCATTCACGTAAGTCCGCTTGATTGTCTGGTATAGAGTTGCTGTATTGACTTCCCACAGTCCATTTACAACATCATCACCACAAGCCAGGGTAAACTCACTGCAATCTACCCAGCCTTGTTGGCCGTCATCAACAACATCGCTGCATACCTTGAGGATTTGAGCGCCTCGGCTTCCTCAAAACTACTGCAACTCTTCTCGTCAATGTCTTCTCCAGGGTTCCTATTGGCGAATGACAGTAATCACGATCTACTGCAATCGCTCTTAGAAAGCATAAATGCCATAATTGAGCATCAGTTTATCAGTAAGTCCCACCTACCTGTCGACACCTACCACGTGTTTTCCCGTTTGTTGTGGCTCTAGGAGCCATCCGTATATATAGCCTACCTCAGTGAGGAGCTTGGACTAAGTCACTATTTTTTGATAGAGATCAACATGACGCGCCAAGGCTTCCAGTCCCGCAGTAAGCCTGTTTTGTGATTTTCTGCGAGTTGAACTTTCAAGTAAGCTTAAAACTGACATGTGTAGGAAATCCAAATTTTGTGTACGCCGTGCTACGGAATAAGAAGCGATTTGAAGGTACATAACTTCGAAATGGAAATCCTTCAGCAGCTAACTTTTGTAGCATTACGGTCTTTCACTCTCGAAAGTGGGCAAGAAGAGATTGAGCGCATGAATAGGCGGCGGAAAGAACGCCATGATCCTAACGACTTGTCCGAGAGCCGAAGAGGATCTGTGGATAGTATTATTAGCCCAACGATAAGTCATTCGCGTGCACCGGCCCTGAGTGATGTACCAGAAGAAGATGGTACATTTGCAATTGGAGGCGACGAAGATGAAGATACAGATGATGATCATCGGCCTACCCCAGCAGAATCCACGCCGACAGAGCAGCCATCACGGGCGTCTTCAGTATCGTCAAGTGTGGATGATGCAGTTCCGACTCAGCTGAGGGGCATGTCCGAGAAAGCTCGAGGGAAGATGCCTGGTAAGCTCCCTCCCTTTGTAATTTCCTCTACGATTAACAGAAATTAGCTGGAATGCCCACTTTCTCCCGGCAGAACAGCACGACCAGCTTAAGCAACTACGTAACAGCAGGCTTCTCCACGAACGGAGCTTTCGAGCCTACAGCGCAGTGGATTGATTCCTGGCTCACCGAACTTCCCCTCCACACAATCCTTACCCTCATGGATCAACTTACACCCCTTCTCCCCGCCCCAAAACGATCTTCAACCGACACGCCCTCTGCCTCCATACTGCACGTCATCCAATCTGCAAAGGTTACCGGGATTGAGCCGTCTCCAATTCGCATCCAGTATTTTGAATGGTCACCTCTTTCCCTCGGCTGGTACGAGTCTCTCCTCTGGGGGTTTGCCTTCACATCCGAGATGCAGGTCCAAAAAGGCACGGTTGGGGTATGGAACGGTACCGCCATCAAGCTTTTCAGAGTAGAGGCCGTGGCACCCAGCGGACCTACGTTGAGTAGTCCAAGAGGGGCCGTAGATGCAGTGGGCAGCAACATCGTTAGTCGTATTGGTAATCTCAACTTGAGAGGTGTTGGGGGTGGCGGTTCGGCACAGGATGCGCAGAGCCCTGCGGCTGAGAGACCGGAGAGACCGCAGGTTTCGAGGACGGGGACGGGTGATGGATCGAGGCCAGGTTTGATTAGGACTGCAATTATTTAGGGCTTCGAATCCGTGTCCCGGGTGAGCATTGATTAACTTACGAGCTCGTTAGCCTTCGCGCCCAGGAGGAGCCTCATGGGAGGCGATGATGGAGAAAGCTTGCAATTCATAGGCGCACCAGCGATGGCGTTTCCAGGATGTACTTTAGCATTGAGATAGTTTTCCCACAGCATAAATGATGGTTGAGATGCTCGCGCTTAAATCCGGGTGAAGTTATAGTAACAAACCGTTTGGGAATTCCACTATTTCCCCAATCCTGCCAAGGAAGTGCTCAGTGGTACTATCTCCAACTTTCTTTTCTTGACCTTTCATACTCTCTTCCCTTGCCCTCTCGCTGCCCAATTTGTGAGTAACCATTGCAGCAATGCACTCTACGGTCTCCATTTCACTCGATTTACCTCATTCCTACATGTTACTGTCAAACTCAAGCTCACTCATTGGTGACGGGCAATGACGACGTTGCCTCCCAGTCAAGATATACAAGATGGTATGGTTGCTCTTTCGGCTCAGCCACGAGTCGCACAGACACCGATATATCATATCCCACGAGCGAGATATGGTCAGAGTCACCCGTACCCTTCATATGTGGGAGAGCCTCAAGTGCCAAGGCTTCCCTTTTTTGAAATCCCAACGTCGTGACAGTTATCCCCTCCCAAATATCGGCGCTGACAATCCGCGCTGACACATTCCTTGGGTTTCGTTTCTTCTCGTCACCTACTTGAATGGCCAAGACAAAGTACTTGAGTCCAGGGTTGCTTTCGTAATTTCCGGGGACAAACTCGACGTGCATGTGTCGCTTATATGCCATTTCAAGAAGAAACTGATTTGCGGCAAGATCCCAGCTTCCCCTGGGCTGCGCCGTTCGAATGTGCCAATACCTCCGTCCAAGCTTTTCCCAGGGCTTCCAGCGCAAACGGACGGCATACCTCTCCCAGAGCACAAGTCTATGGATCATTGGTCCGGGGGGGCTGTTCAGAATGCATACAGGCTCGTAGAATGCACCAGTACAGATGCTCTTTTGGAATGCTTTCAGCCGCTCCGGGGCGTCATGGAGGCAGATAAAAAGCCCAAGGCCAACTTTTTGAAGGAGAATATACCTTTTTCTGCCCCTACCACGGAAGGAAGGATCCCGATAGTTCAGAAATAAGAGGTAGTGGTGGCGGTATCCTGGAACTGCAGTCTGATAGTGGAGTTTCGCACTCGGGAAGAAGATACCTTGATTCGTAAGAGAAAATTGTATGCTCAATTTGTTACCAAGATGGCCGCCGTTATACCTGCTAGGAGACTTTGCAGGGCTGATGCAAAAGCTTGAAGGTTTGGAAGCTAATATGGGCTTGAATCCTGATCTAGTCGCTTTTCCGTTCCAAGCGAAGATCGAGAGGTCGTTGTATTTTTTAATAATCTCTTCCTGGAGTCGAAGAAAGGCCTTTGGGCCTTCCCCATATAGCATCGGCATATTGACGTCGAGAATTCCTATAAGGCTGTACGACATATCCTCAATTCTGGTGGTTTGGCGCTCAGCGATCCCTAGGTGGTGGAGGAGTCAGCAATCGCTAGACACAGAATGTTACAGGGAAAACTGGGACATCGTTTAGAAAGAAAGTCTTGAGACTGCCCAGAATAGGAAAAGGCTTCTTCCCAATACTTACAGGATATTCTTGCAGCGATTGGGAATTCCTGGATCTTCTGCCTCGGGGGCACAAGGAGCACGGCTTCTGGAATCCCAGTGATGTCCGAGATCAATCGGGACAATGAGCTCTTCTCTCCGATTTCCTGCCATTTGCGGTTGAAGAAACGTAGCTGCCGCGGGGCGAGCAGTTCTTGGAGACACCAACCACGAGTGAACCACCGACATTGCCGAAAATCAGCTTCAAATTGATCTTGCTGCGAAGGCATATCGACTGTGTTTAGCACGAAATCGCTCAAGTATACATAGCACACCTGCGACTGTCTGTACCAGCCAAACATGGAATTGATAGCCTCGGTGAGCTCTGCACTGCTGGTTTTGTCGATGCAGCATGTGTCGACCCACGCGTAGCAGTATCCGTTCTTCAGCGCCATATCACATGCTGCGGTGATCTTGCGGTACCCCGCCTTGCTCGTGATTCTGTCGTTCTTGGCTTCGCTCACTTGCTGGAATTCCTGGAAGGACATCTCGCCATCTCCCCATGTATGCGAAAGAATGGCATAGGCGGGAATTTCATCGCCGTAGAACAGCTCTAGCGACAGTGTCGATGTATTTATGAGCCACATGGTGTCAATGTTTATAGCGGCCTCTATTCCAGAAACTTTCTGTCAAAAAGGACAAAACTGATTATGCAAGTGACTGTATCCAGTCGCTCGTTCATCTGAACTTAAATGCATAACTGGCGCTGATGAGTATTGACTTCTGACTGCTTACTTATGAGGCCGCAAAACTCTACAGCCTCAGTAGGGCGGTAGGGGCGGGGAATGCTTCAACTAAGAAACTACTGGTGCAGATGCAGCCACGCCCAGCTGCTGCGGAGCCGAACATGGTATCCTTCCGTCAACGCTGTGATTGGCGCATTCTCTGCATTCGAAGGTTGAGAGAGTGGTTGAAGTGAAGCTGCACCTGGTATGCGGATGGATGGTGCTCTGTCACGTCGGCATTCTGGTTCTTAAGCTGGCCAAGAAGGATGCGAAGGATGTCGAGAGGATCCGTGAGCGCGGTGTTGTCTTTGATAGGAATTTTTCCAACTAGCTTCGAATAGGGGACGTCGTTCTCGAAGAACTCCGGGATCTCGCTTCGGGAAAGGGGGAAAATGTAAAACGACCCCCCCCCCCCCCCCCCGGATGTCGATTGGGGGCCGGACTAACCTAAAGTAGAGAGGAACACCAAAAAATCTAGTTTTCCTTTAAATTTAATTTACTACATAAATAATTATTATAGTTTAATTTATTATTATTATAGAAAGCTAGATTATAAGCTAATAGGATATAAAAAATTTATTATATAATAATTAGTAAATTTAAGAAAATTTAAAGAAGGTAAGGAAAGTCGGAATTTTTAAGGTACTATAAGTGCCTGAAAATTTAGCGATCAAGCGCCTGGAACTAATTTATCTCGTATGCAATTATCGCCTCGCCTATTTCACGCCCCACATTAGAGCTCTTATATATAAACTTCCTTATACCTATATTAGGAAATTTGATTCGAGAGAAGGACTTAAATAAGTACAAGCAACTAATTAGGCATTATTAAAACTCTAAAATCCATTGGTACGTCTTATCGACACCCGGGGGGTGTCGTTTTACATTTTCTCCGGGAAAGGGGGCTAGGACGTTAAAGACAAGGATCGGGAAAAACTTCCATACGTTGCACCAGCCGAAGACATCGTCGGTCCCAAATTGGGGTTTCTTCTATACATCGCAGTTAATGATAACTTCCAACTCCACATATACTGCGTCTCTATACTGCGTCTCTGCATGTGACGTCTATAAGGCTGGCTTCGAAAGTAAACAGGGGAGATTTGCTTGAGTAAGAGCCTTTTGCATTCAGAGCAATAGCGAATAATTGAAATCTCAAATCCCCGTAATCTAAATACCCAATGCGCTCCTCTTGCTACTTATTTCCTTTCGCTTCCATTTTTCCTGCCTGCCTTTATCGGAAGCAAAATTATTCTGGAGATATAGTAATAATAAACAAAAAACATCTATTACTTCTTATCTTGTCTGTCCAGTCAATCGTTACACTTCCTACGAATCCCTTTTTCGCTTTACAGGAAGAACCATGGAGCTATTTCGAGAACCATTATATTACTAAATTTTCAGGCTCTCTTAAGGTCGATACCCCTAATCGACACCCCCTAATTAGTACCCGGTAAGGTATCGCTTTACATTTTCCCGTTTTGCCAGAGGTTAAAAGGAATTAAGCATTGCTATATGCATTATAACCAAATCTGTCTGGAAACAATAAAAATGACATGCGCATTACGCTGCATTAAAGCAAAATGCGAGACGCGCACTGGGTGCCAATATACATTAATTTGCACATACTGGTATATACAAAGTAATGTATACGGGCACGTACCACCGCTTGCTGGTTTTGGTTAGTGTGGCTCCAATTGACACCCCTAATCGACACCGGGGGGTGGGGGAGGGGTCGTTTTACTTTTTCCCGGTTTCCTTGCCGAATTTTGCCCGGGAATCCTCAATAATTCTAATTAGTTTATGTATTCTAGTTTCTCTTTTAAATGCCAAAGGAAAGCTACAGGTGCATATAAATAAGGGGTCTCAAAAATCTCATCAGCTTAAAGATCCTTCACATCTTCTTGACAGGAAAAACCCCTTCTTGAACACCCCCTCCTTCAACCAAGAAACCATCCAGGAAGTCAATAATCACTTGAGGCTTGTCCAGTTCAGTTACAACACTCACATATCCATCGGGCCTGACAAGAACCAACGCGCCATCTTCCTTGGAAATTCCATGTATGACATGGCCTTTACTATCGACATCTTCATATACCCTGGCGGACCACTTATCGGAGAATGGCTGGGGCAAAAGCTCAAGATCGACTTCGAGATGTGGGGTCGTGTGAAGGAGAAAGACGTCCACAACGTAATCAAAATTTGCCTTTGGATAGGTAGAAGTGATGTCTTCTTGATGGAAGGCACTCAAATGATGAGGAGTCTTTTTGCTGAAGCGGTGCACAGGAGATGTCGGGGAGGACAAGAATTCCGACAATCGTACGAAGGCTTCTGAAGTGAGAGATTTGCCTGCGTACACAAAGAGGTGAAAGCGCCCATCGGCGGGCATCTCGTCAAGAAGTTGCACGGAGTTCCCGCCCAATTGTCTAATAAGAGGAATGCTGAGTAGACGTTTCCCAGGGATTACCGGTTCAGTGGCGTTCACGTTGACAAGTGTGCTTGTTTGGTCTGACACCAGCAAACCTTGTGGATACCGATAGCTACAGCCGCTTGTGAAACCAACGTTTTCCTGCCAAAGATCGTACAATGTGGTGTCGTCGAGGTTCGTCCGTTGGGTGAAAGCCTTGGCAAACTTGGCATCAAAGTTGATTAGCTGCGTGGCAATGTGTTTCCGTTCAGTTTCATATGTGTCAAGCAGGTTCGGGCTTGCCAGCCCCTTCATGACAAGTGCAAGCTTCCATGTCAGGTTATAAGCATCAGATATGCTTACATTCATTCCTTGGCCAGCTTTGGGGCTGTGGGTATGGCAAGCATCACCCACAAGAAACACACTCCCACGTTGGTCGCGGAATGTATTGACAATTCTTTGGGATACAGTGTAGCGACTGATCCAAAGGACTTTGGTAATTTCGAACTTGTATGGGCGAAGAAGTTTTTGAGCCTGAGATTGGACAATATCAAGCAGTTTGAAATCCTTACTGCTGTGCAAGCCTTGAGGGGCGCTCTGTTTCTTGGCTTCGTCGAGCATCTGAACATCTTGTGGGGTGAGCTGTAAGAAGACGCGTAGGCCCTCGTCCTTCCTAGGGATAAGCATGCAACCACCATATGGGGAACGAATCGCAACTCTGCGGCGGGTATCTGGAAAGTTCGTATTTAGAAAGACATCAGCAACAGCCCAGACATCTTCTCCTCCCTGTGACTGTGTTGTAACACCGGTTATTCGACGGATCGTGCTTCGAGCTCCGTCAGTGCCCAAGATGTACTTTGTCTGCCAAGCTTCGATTGCACCAGAGACATGATTCTTGATATAGGCAATGAGAGGCCAAGCTGGATCTCTGTCTTGGTATTCGTAATCAACTATCTCCAAGAAGCGATCGACCTTGAAGCCGCGCGAGATTAAGTCTGCTTCAAAAATGCCTTCGGTAATTCCCTGATCTGAGTTGAAGAGGTACTGGTAGGGAGTAGCTAAAGCACAACTAAATTAGTCGCGGGAAGTAAAGTGGGGATTGGAAACTCACGGTGAATCACCTCACGGCCCACGCTATCTCTGCTTAATTTCTTCCCCTCATCAACTGACCAGAAAGACGTCTCAGTGAGACGGTGTCCCAGTTCGTCCAGCTTATGTCGAAGGTTGAGGGTTTGCAAGATCTCTTGCGTTCGAGGTTGAAATGCTAATTAAAAGTCAGAAGGGACAGCGACAAAAGTGGTCGTTTTCTTACCGCTGGCATGTCCAGCTTGTGTTCTTGCAGCTCGTTTATCAATGAGGCGGAAGTCTATCCCATATCTTGCAAGTGTAGATGCAGCCATGCAGCCAGCTGGCCCAGCTCCGACTATCAGAACGTCTGTCTGGCCTTGAATGAATCCGTCCATTGTGGATGTTAAGCGCAGACAAATATTTGGAAACTTCTTTTGTGAAGTTGAGATTACAGAGATCTTGAGCGGTTGGTTGTCTGTTCAAAGGTGAGCAGCGATTTAGTGAAAATAGGAGGAAGGATGTGTATAGAAGTTGCTGGCGCTGAAGATGATTCTTTGGTCGAAAGTGCAACCTCCCAGAAGTATTTCAAGAGATCTATATACTTGGGCCTCAACACTCTTCAGCCCACTTACAAGGATGCCAGTCTGCAAAACAGAGTTGCAGTGTAGGAATATGAAAATTTTCTTGTCACAATGGGATAAGCACGAAAAAGTAACATTCAGGAGCCATATATTTCCTGTCTTTTGAGAAAAAGTCGCTGGATTCTGACAAAAGGCTTGGTTGGTGGCCCCCAATACAGGCTACCTCGCCGATATTTTTCAGCCCCAGGGCTTATGACAGGCACGGCACGCTTCCATATACCTGTTAGGGGTGTTGCACGTCTACCGGGGCATTTGAGATTTCCCTACTTACATAAGCAAGATGGAACGGCAAATCACGTCTGCGCTCTTTTGTGAATATTTTAGATTCAAGCAAAATTCCCACGGCTACGGCACCTCAGGACAAGCTACCCCCAGGTTCAAAACGGTATGTGGCGGCCTGTGCTCTGCAGCCACACCCAAATGAACGTGTCCGCCGCGATAGCCGCGCCACCTCGCCCCGCGTCAAGCCATCACCTTGCGGCTTTCGCGGCGGTGACCGGAACGATCACCGGGCCACCAAAGACAAGCTTTATTACAAGCAAGAGTTTTTCTACCGAAAAGCTTGCCTTCGGCCCCCTGTATGATGCAACCTTCCGTATCCCTGCACATATGTCCCGGACAACCATTCCGGACCTGTCAAACATATGGGCCGTGCGAGCCGAGCCGTTTCGACAGGGGACGTGGGGCTGTCGGAGCTCCCCGACGAAAATCCCATGTGAGCAAGATGCCGCCGGCCTGCCTTCGGCACGCCGCTGTCATTTTGACATGAAAATATCTGTCATGGAGGTTTTCATATTAAAAGTCCGGTAGGATTGAATAGTACAAGGAAATTTAGCAGATTTATGTCGGACGATTCCGACATCTGTTAAAGCCCTAAGGATTGCTGCTGTCAAATTTGTTTTTTCATCGCTCATATCTGATATATACTTCACGCAGAATGGAAGCTGTGGCTCTCTTTCTCTGTCTTAATCACCTTGTCTTTCAAAGCCAATTCGCAACCTCAGGTTAGTAGCTTCGTATCCCCAAAACCATCCACTGGTCACCGTCCGCAAATATGAACCAGCTCAAAGCTCAGGAAGAGGGGTCACCACCCGTCGAAGCTTACGGGACAGGGCAACGGTCCTCGGGAGAGCAGAGTAGGGAAAGCCAAGAATTGCACCTCGTGGCTTGGGATGTCGAAGATGCAGGCAATCCGAAGAATTGGTCTCGCCTTTCAAAATACTGGATCACATTGCAATTGGGAATGTTAGCATTTGCAGCCAGCGTTGGCTCTAGCATCACTGCACCCGCAACAAATGCAATTGCCACCTATGCGAATATCAGCCATGAAGTTTCTGTCCTATCTATATCACTCTATATGTAAGCCCTTCTCTCCTTAGTATAGGTTCCGAGCTGACCATTCACGAAGTGCAGGATTCGCCCTCGGACCACTATGTTGGGCACCTGTATCCGAAATCTGGGGAAGGAGATGTGGCATGCTACCCGCCATGTTCTTCCTTGGCCTTGCATCTATTGGGACAGCAACCAGCAAGAACGCCGCAGCTATCTTCATAACTCGATTCTTGGGTGGCGTGTTTGGATCCGCTCCCGTCAGTAATGTGTCCGCAGCTCTTGGCGATATATGGGTCCCATCAGAGCGTGGACCTGCAGTTATTTTGTACTCAATAGCAGTGACTGGTGGACCAACAATCGGACCCATCATCGGCGCAGCTATAATTGTTAATCCTAGCTTGGGTTGGCGATGGACTGAGTATATCGAGGCAATTTGGGTCTTCACAACCGTTGCGGTGTGCTTCTTCTGCCTACCTGAGTCCTACTCTCCCGTGCTTCTCGCGAGACGAGCAAAGAAGCTCCGTGCAGAGGGCGACGTAGACTGCTATCATCCCCATGAAGAGTTGAAGTTGGATTTCAAGACGATTATCACCAAGCATTTCACCAGACCGCTATTAATGCTTGCGACAGAGCCAACAGTCACATGTGTCGCTTTTTACGCCTCATTCGTCTACGGGATTCTGTATCTTACACTTGAGGTATTCCCTATCTGCTTTCAGGAAATCCGCGGAATGCACCCCGTGAAAGCTTCGCTGCCATTTCTCGGATTGTTTATAGGTGTCTTATCAGCTGTATTCATCAATCTCGCCAACCAGCCCCGATATCGTCGAATTTCAGCAGCAGCAGGTGGGAAGCCCGTCCCAGAAGCGCGCTTTGCACCAGTTGCATTCGCGGGTTTTATCTTTGTGGCCGGGCTCTTTTGGTTTGGGTGGACAGCAGGTGATGTTAATGTCAGCGTGTGGCATCCTATTGTAGCGTCTGGTCTTATTGGTTGCGGCTTTAATGTCATCTTCAACCAGTGCGTGAATGTGCTTGTGGACACTTACGGTATTTATGCCGCGAGCGCAGTATCCGCCAACACATTTCTGAGAAGCATCATGGCGGCAGGATTTCCGCTTGTTGCAAGACCCATGTTGTATGGGATGGGCGTTGGCCCCGCGATTTCAGTGTTAGGCGCTGTCGCAAGTGGTATGATCGTTGTGCCGTTCCTATTTATGAAATACGGCTTTGAGTTGCGAAAAAGATCGAAAATGGCTCCTGTATAATTTACATTCTAAAGTAGCTACAATGCTTATAATAGACATAGAAATAGACACTGTAATTCAAAATTTCAATGTAAACCCCGGGGCAACCAAGTGTCTGTGGAAGGTAGCTTGGGACCTATACCTGGTACCAGATCGACGAGTCAGCTTCAGGTTGACTGACTCTATAGAACTTCTACGGACGTCTACTTACGTTTCAAGCAAAACCAGGGAATTCCGATTCTTCACGGCTGACATGGAATCGAGTGATACCCTTCTCGTCACTATGAATGTGTTCAGCAATCGTTGAAATCAGTTCAACGGACTACCTGCCACTCAAAAGAGTCAACTGAATTCCTTTGGTATTTTGGTATTTTGGTTTTTGGCCCTTTACCGCCTAAAATCCAGCCCTAAACGAACTGCATTGCCTTTTGGTGCAATATCTTCGCACTACGTAATGCCTTTATTCGACCAGCACCAACTAGAACAGCTAGCACACTCCGTCGGATGGTAGGTTAAAGACTTATTAGCTCACACCAGAGAGAGAGGGAATACTTTGTTGCAGATCCAAAACGACGATCTGCGAAGCCACAGTTTTAGCCACTCCAAAAGCAAGTTACAACCATCACATACTGCACGAGGGCAACCGCACCCTGTTACTACGGCACTCCTCCCATACAATAAGGCCAGCTGGCTTTAGCTACGCCTTCATCGATCTTCCCTATAGGATTTGTTGCATATCGCACCTAGATGGTATTTGAGATGTTAGAACGGAGAACTCCATAAATTAGACTACAAATCATTGTCCTTGATAGTATAACATTATATCGCGCATGCACATAAAAGGCTGAGGACAGTAAATCAGTGTGGCATTTATACTGGCATCTTTTTCCTTAATAGCTCATGAACAAGGTGGCCGACAAATGAAAGTTTCTTTCTCATTCCTGTAATCCCATTCCAGGTAAATCTTCCCAAAGTGAAAACCATATAACCCACAACACCAAAACCAGCGAAAGTAATACTTAAAATGAAAATAAATGCTGAAACAGAAAGGCTAGGCTCCGGTGGTGGTAATGAAGATATATTAGGTAGGGGGCGGTACGGTCGCTGGGGCTCATCTTGATTATAACGAGCCCGGTAGCCAGCATCCATGCGACTTTCTTGGCGGGGTTCGAAGATAGGGGGAATACGGTATGAAGAAGCTGGGGTTAGAGGATTAGGGATCCAGCGCGAACGGGCGGAGGTGAAAATTTGTGTTTCTGGGATCTGAATAGGGGTATGATTTTGTGGACGACCAAAGGCGGCGGAGGAAGGCGAGGCCCAGGACGATACTGCGGTATAAGAAGGTATCGTTGGAGGGGTAAAGTTGATATATGTAACTAAAGTACTATAGGATTCTGACTTAAGCTTGTACCGTCCGCTTGGTCCATCGTATTTTTTTAAGAATGTGAAGTGGACGGTATACGTGGATTGTGTGCTAATATATGAATTTTTGTCGAGTCGAATGTTGTTATCAAGGAATAGCCGGATGTTGTTATCGGGATGGGTAGCACTGGGAAAGATAGGGAGGTAGAAGCTCCGAACGTGGCAGTTTTCTGGGTGTCTTTCTTTGAGATCTCGACCACGAAAGGAAGTGAGCTTTTAAAGTCAGCTAAGACGGAAAAGCATTAAGAAATGCAGAATGCTGACAGTAAGAACGGTAGCCGTTTTCCCTTGTAGATCGGTAGACAAGATCACGGCAGGATGGTCGAAGCAACCGTCGGCGATCACACCTCCGCAAAGGCGCTCGTCAATGTCGTCTTTTTTGCGCAAAAAATTTATACAACCAGGCTCCAGATAGCGGCTTTCGAGAGTTATGTCTGGCAAAGAGCGCACGGGTTCTGGGTGTAAAGGCCCTAATGCCGTAGGCATTTTGCTTGATTATTATATATTCTATCAAAGCGACGATTGAATTCCTTCTTATTTCGAAAGCCTGTACTTTTGTCCAATTAGGAGAGGCCACGATGATTTCCCCGCTTATTGTGCGATATGAGTTTTATCCAATCGCAAGACAGTTATATAACATTATCGGTAAGTTAGAAAAACCCTATAATATTAATATGCCGGCCTGGCCGCCACTTAGCACTGTGCTTAAGGATTAGGAACTCTAGCACGCGAGACTTTGGCAGATGCAAGATAATAGGGTCGATGCTGGCCTGAATGCGACTTTGGATACAGGGTCTGTTAATAGTCGGACTTAACATCACGACTAAAGGGGCCCCACCTTTAGTCGGGGAAAGCGAGTTGGCCCGCACCAAACCAAAATTACTATGCGACCGTAAACAATTATATTATACCACATAACAGATAAATCCCCAAGGGGTCTTGACGTTATACGGCCAATCGGATAAGAGATGCAAAGAAGGGAAAGGAACCGTAAAAGATATAATCCCAAGGTATATATAATTGAGCTCTTACCGGAGTAGCTCTTTATAATAAGAGAGAAGGCTTTAAATATCGGAATCGGAAGAATCTCTATATTATATAAGCTCGTTAATATACTAAAAGTAAGAACGAGAGAGTTATAAAGCATCTAGCTTTATAAATAAAGGGGGAGAGTTAAAGTTAATAGGAAGAATAGTTAATATTATATAATTAGTAAAATCGATAGAAATTAATATAAGTACAAAGCAGTTGTAATTCAGTTATAAGAGAAGAGTCTTGAACTAATAAAGGACGTCGTTATTATATTAATTAATGCAATTGGGGCTGAATTATAAAGCTTGGTAAAAGAGAAAAGAGAATTAAAAGACGAGATTATATTATTCGTAGAACTAGCGGAAATCGAAGCGAATATAAAGCAGTTATAAAGCGATTGAAATTCAGTTATAAGAGGAGAGTCTTGAGCTAAGGAAGGACCTCGTTATTATACGAATTAATGGAATTGAAACCTGAATTATAAAGCTAAAAGCTTGGTAAAGAACAGAGAAGCAGAAGACAAGAAAACAAGAAAACGAGATTGCATTGTCTATAGAATTAGCAGAAATCGAAGTAAGTACAAAGTAGTAATAATTCAGTTATAAGAGGAGAGTCTTGAACTAATAAAGGATATTATTATTATACGAATTAATATAATTGGGGCTGAATTATAAAGCTTGGTAAAAGAGAATAAAGAAGCAGAGAGAAAACAAGAGAATTGAGATTATATTATCTATAGAATTAGCAGAAAAGCAGTATACTTAAATGTAATTATAAAAGCAAATAAAAGAGAGAATCTGGAACTAAATAGGAGAGGTTATTATTATATAAATTAATAGTTATAATCCTATAATTATAAGAGATATATATAATAATAGAGCTCTAGAATATAATCTTCTCTAGCTTACTAATATAATAGGGATATAAAATACAGAGTAATATTAGAGAAAATGGGCTTCTATAATATGGGATTATAGAATATAAGTACTAGAATTAAAAAGTAAAGATTAATTAATTTCTAAGAACTAAGAAGAAGAAAAGGGTAATATAAGCGAATTATAGACTATATAGAAATCCGGAGGTTATATAATAGAATTACGTAACTAATAAAAGTAAAATTCCTACTATTAAAAAAAGTTAATTTATATATTCTTTTTATATTTAACTAATATAAGGCAAAAATATAATTATATATCCGGATATTTATTTAAAAGATTTAGTAAAATAGATTATTATTTATAAAAAAAATAAGAAAAATATAGAAAAAACTTGCGAATTAGAGAAAATAATATATTACTCTTCTTATAATAGGCCTTAAAGCAATTATTTATATAATTAAAATAGAGAACTCTATAAGCTATAAAGTAATCTATAAATAAACTAATTATATATATATAAGAACTAGCCAGAAGTATAAGAGAAAGCCAGAAAGCTATATAATAAATAGATTTATAAAAAAGTTCTCTATAATATTAACTAAAATTATAATAATTAATTAATAGATCTATTACTAGTATTATAGGACTGGCTTATTTATAGAGATATTCGTAATTAATTATTATTATTATTATTAGAAAATAAAAAGATATTCGAATTAAGTTTTTATAAGATAAAATACTATTAGATATAATTAATAACTAATCGGGCTTATTAACTAGTTAATTAAGCCAAGAAAAGAGGGAAAATATAAACTCGATAATAATTATAGCTTTTATATATTTTAGCTTATTCTATAATAAAATTAGAAACAGGCCGATTTTATTTATAGGTAATATAAAAGCAAAAAGAATCTATATATAAGTAAAAGAGAAAATAGTAAAAGTAGAAGTAATAAAAAGAAGAAAAAAAGAATAAAGTAAAGCCAGGCGTTTTTTTTTAGTATTTCTTATATAATCTGGATTTTTTAAAGAGTTCCGAAAACTAGCTAAAGCCTTAAGAATTTCCTTTTAAGTTTTAAAAAATTATAATAAAAGCCTCTTATATCTTAGGACTACTAAAATATAAATGAAAATATTTGAGTATTCTTTTTATTATTCTAAACTAAGTTTTAAGGATTTGAATATAATTATATTCTAATATATAATTTCTTAGAAAGAGAAAATTCTAATATTTCTTATATAACTAGTATTTTCTAAGAAATTCCGAGAGCTAATTACTTAGAATAATCCAATTATAAACCAATATAGAAAAAAATAAGTTTAGGGCCGCTTTACTAAAATTATAATTAGCGGCCCTATATAAGCTCCGGAACTAGTAATAATTTTACTCTAAACTTGTTTCAAATAGCTTTAAATAATATAAATATATAAAAGTATTTTAATAATTAATATTTATAATTAATTTATATTTTAATTTTAGCTAATTATTAAAAATATTAAAATAATTCTTTTAAATTTAAGAAAAAAAGAAATTTTAAGTTTAATTAAATTTAATTATTATTAAAATAAAAAATCTTAATTTAAAATTTAAATCCTTTATAAAAATAAAACCTTTTAATTTATTATTTAATATATAAATATAAATAAGTTTATTTTAAATTAAATACTTATTTTTTTAGTTTTTTTATATATTATTATAAAATTATAAAAAGAATTACTTATATAATTATTTAATATATAAACTTTCTTAATTTTTAAATATATTAAAAATTCTTATAAAATTCTTATAAAATTAAGTTTTTCTTTTATATTATTTATTTATATATTAAATAATTTAACTAAAATAAAATAAAATCTATTAATTAAATAAAATTAAAGCTAGTTATATTTAAAGTTATTTAAAACTTACTTTATAAAATTGGGCTTAATATTACTTAATAAGTAAAATAAAAATACTAAAATTTCTTTTATTTTTTAGTAATTTTTTATTACTTTATATATTATAAATAAAAATACTTATATTAATTAATATTTTAAGATTATAAAAGTATTTATAACTAAAATAAAGAAATTAATTATTAATTAATATTTTAAGATTATAAAAGTATTTATAACTAAAATAAAGAAATTAATTATTAATTATTTAAAAAAATTTAAAAAATTTAAAAGAAATTTATATATATTCTTTTATATAATAATTATAATTAATTAAATTAAATTAAATTTCATTTATATTATTTATATTATTTATATTATTTATATTATTTATATTATTTATATTATTTATATTATTTATATTATTTATATTATTTATATTATTTATTTATATTATTTATATTATTTATATTATTTATATTATTTATATTATTTATATTATTTATATTATTTATATTATTTATATTATTTATATTATTTATATTATATATAAAAAACTAGCTAAAGTTTATAGAAAGCTTTTTTTAATTATAACAAAAGTAATATTATTTTTATAGGCTATTTACTAAAGCTATAAAGCTTTTTCGAATTTCTTTTTTCTTTTATAGGTTTTTCTAAGTCTTATTTCTATTTATAAAGCTTTTTTCTTCTTATAGGCTCTCTTATATAAGTATATAAGAATCCGCGATTTTTAAAGGCTTATATTTAAATAATTATTAATTTCTAAAAACTATTTTCTATTATCTTTTATAAGATATCTGTAATATTTTCTTGCTTTTATTTCTCTAAGCTTTTATTTACTCGATTTCTTATTATAGGCTTATATATATTTTTAAAGCTTATTTCTAATAGGTTTATTCTCAAGTTTTAATATTCTTATTTATTTATTTCTTTAAATATTATATTAATAATTTGATTTTTTCTTCTGTTTTTAATATATAAAATATATAAAGAAATATCTAAATTTAGAAAGAAATCGTTTTTAATTATAATTAGAATAGTATTCTAAAAAGAAGAATTAATAAATATTTATAAAGAGGTTTTTTTATTTATAAGTTGGCCTATAAGTATTTCTTTATTTATAGATTTCTTTTCTTTATCTATAAATTCCTCTTTTTTATCTATAAATTCCTTTTCTTTATCTATAAATTTCTCTTCTTTATTTACAGATCTCTTTTCTTTATTTATAAGTTCTTTTTCTTTATTTATAAGCTTTTCTTCTCTTTATATTTCTAAATATTAGCTAGCTATAAGCTAGTAATATATTTCCTATAGCTTTTACTTATATTTATACTTATATTCTTGCTTTTTCCTCTTATATTTATCTATAAACTACTATATATTAGTCCTATTTCTTAGCTTTTTACAAGCTCTTATCGGATTATTCTTCTTCTATTATTTTTTTATTCTCTTTTTTACTACTTTTTCTCTTTATATTATTACTATTTATCTTTTTTTAATTAAACTTAGAGCTTTCTTTACTTATTTCAAGCCTGCTATTATACTTTTTCTTTTACTTATATCTCTTTTAAATCTATAGAATCCTATATTCTATATATTTATATCTATTACTTTACTTTCTTTATCTATAAGACCCGCCGGCTATATCTTTCTTATATAAACTTGCTCATAGCCTTATAGTATTAGTTATACTTTTATATAAGGCAGATTTCATAAGTATAAAATTAATATCTATTTTTATAAAAAGAGAAGCTTATAATTAAGTAAAAGAATTTATATCTAGAATAATATAGCCGATTTAAAAGAAGAGTATCTATTAGGAAGCCTATAAAAGAAAGCTTCTAAAGCTTATAAAAGTGAGCCTATAGAATATATGAAGCTAGTAAAGCTTATAAAAGAAACCGGAAGTTTTAGTATTTCTATATAGATTAGTTTATATAATAGTATTTATTTTCCCGGAAAATAATATTAATATAAAAGAGAATTAAAAATATAAGTATATAAAAAAACTAAAAATAATAAGCTTAAAATTTTATTTTTATTATTTAAATTTAAATTAATAAATACATTTTATTTTTATCTTTAATATTTATTATTAAATAAATTAAAAAATAATAAAAGCTTTAATTAAATATTTAATAATTTAGAAAAATTAAATAAACTTTTTAAAAGTAATTATAATAAATAGCTTTAATTAAAAAATAAAATAGAATTAAAAAGTAAAAAGAAATAAAGTATATAAGAAAGCTTAATAAGGAAATAAAAGCTTGTTTTATTTCGCTATTAATTATAAATATAAGTTTAAAAATATAAGAACTAAAATATTATAAAATACTATAGTTTAATATAATATTTTAATTAAGTTATATAAAGTTTTAATAAGTTTTTAAGAGTTTTATAGCCTTAATTTAATATAATTATAATAGTTATAAAACTAAATAAGATATTATAAGATATATAAAAGGCTTTAGAATTATATATATCTTATATTTCTATTATTATTTCTGTAATAATAAAGAAATTAATAAAAGAATTAAAAGAATTAAAGTAATTTATTTTGATTTTATAAGATTAGTAATAATAAAAAAGATTATTAATACTAAATTAAAAGTTATAAAAATAAAGAAATTAAAAGTAATAAATATAAGTATATTTCCGGTTTTAATTTATATATATAATAAAGCTAGCCTAATTAAATAATACTTTAGAAAGCTTATATTATAATAAGGATTTTATTTTTAAATTATATAAATTTTAAATATTTATATTACTTTTCTTTTCTTTTTAGTTCTTAGAAATTAATTAATCTTTACTTATTAATTTTATATCTTATTTATATATTATAAATACTTATTTAATTCTTTATATATTATTACTTGTTTTATATATCTATTATAATATCTAATATTATCTTGCTATTTAATTAAATAATACTTAATATTTAAGGGAAATAAATCCTTGCTCTATTTTTATTAATACGAGCCTTAATAAGAGCTAATATCTAATAATTTAACCGGAATTACTTTAATTATAAGAGTAAACCTATTAGAATTAATTCTTTCGAATAAGAATTTATTTATTTCAAATATTAAATAATAATACTTAATAAATAAATTAAATTTTAGTAATAATTTTAAGAAAAATAATTAATTTATTATTATAGAAAATTAGTATTTAAATACTTTTATATAAGTACTAGCTTAACTTATATAAGTCTATTTAATAAATACTTTGGTTTTTTTTTAAATTTTAAATATATATTTATTTATAATTATTTATTCATAATTATTTATTTATAATTATTTATTTATGATTATTTGTTTATAATTATTTATTTATAATTACTTATAAATAACTTGAATAGTTATTTGATATACTGGCTGGCGGAGAAGGCAGCAGACCTAGTTGCCAGAAGTTATTGAAATGCTTGTTTTGTGGCCGTTTGAGTCCTCGACAGATGTTACATGGGAACTCGAAATCAGAAGCAAATCCGAACCTTTCGTTGGCTCTGACATCTAGATAATGGATGGTTGCTTCCGTTGGTTTTACATAGTTTCCACAGCATGGTTTAATTAACAATTAGACTTAGAGAAAATTCAGTTTCGCCATATAAACGTACTACGAACCGAAGCTTGTCCCTAAAGTGGCTGGATTTCAATTTCCTGCCATTAGCAATGAATAAATCCAACTCAACCGCCGCTTTGAAAAAAAAAAAGCGGTGCACGACATTTTTGTCCCTTTGGTTAGAGGAAAGAAACCGTGGACGCTCATAGGAAATATAGTAGAAGGAAACATTCAGTAGTTGCAATGCAGGAATATCTGCGAGTAGACTTTCAAAGGAAGTCTCTGTTGTTATGTGGCTTTCACATTCGTTTCGAGTCCAAACAAGACTATTTACCGAGCGGAAAGAATCTATGTCATCTAGTCATAGACTTTCTAAACACCAACACAATACGCTTCACCAAGCTCAAGATCAGTACACCCTGATCCGATCGCCGGATTCCAAGCATAGAACTGCGCAAACGTAAGACCATATTCCGATTCGATAGCAGAACATGAACAACCTAGGAAACGTATTAGAGATCTATCTTTTCTCGAAACTCTAATTGCGGGAGGATTCTTACCACTCTCACAAAGTGTCCAAGCATTACAGTTCGCCACAATCCCAGTCTGCGTGGGACCTGGTGCTGTTACACTAGTCGCTGATGTTGAGGTTGACTGTACGGTACTAGAAGAGGAGGGCGATATTGAAGTGGTCGACGATACCGAAGTTACAGTAAAGGTCGAGGAGCTGACAGCGACATTGTTGCCATCAACACAATAAGCATCTCCCAACTGCAGCAGCAAGCATGCGGCATCGATACTTGGATTCCAGGCCTGGAATTGAGCGAATGAGATGTCAAAGGCGCTTTCAATAAGAGCACAGGTGTCATTAGCAACCACGGTGTAGTACTCATAACAATCAGGGGTTGTTCCTGCAAACCGTCAGAGTTCGGATAAGAATTTAAAGAGCTTGATATTAACTAACCACTTGGGGTAGGCGCAGGAGGGGTCACATATGTCGTTAAAGTGCTGGTCGAGTTGGTCGTGTTCCATTGTGCAGTCGGATCAACACAATAGTACAATCCCACGACGAGATTAGTGCAGCCAGCGTTGATAGAAGGATTGATGGCTTCGAAAAGGTCGATCGAGATTGTGTTATTCAGCGCTATAAGCTGACAATAATCGCCTGATTGGACTTCATAATACTTTCCACAATAAATCGTTGTATCTGTAAACAGCGAGTTAAGCTTTGATGACTACAATCCCTGGTGAGACATGACTCGGGGAGCTTACCAAATGCTACATTTCCTGGCGGCGTTACAGTGGCTGTGGCATACAACGCCGTCTGTGTTCCCGTCGCACCAGCAATCGTTGTTCCGTTCCAAACAACTCCAGGCTGGCTGATGCAAAGGTATTCGCCCGTGATCAAATTCGTACAACTTGGATTGATAGTCGGGTTCCAGGAACGTAGCTGCGTGTATGTGAGATTGTTTTTTGCTGAGACGCCAACACATGTATCGTTTGCCTGGATATTGTAGATGCTACAAGATTGTGGTAGACAAAGACTTTGACCAACTAAAACGGGGTGAATCAGCATGACTATGCTTTCTGTTCTAAATATGTTTTGTCGACTTACTGTCAAGATTTGAACAATCAGGAAAAATATCGTTGAGAACCCTCAAAGTGCCCGTAGGAACATTTTTAGCTGCCGAAATTCCAAGGCAGCCATCACCGGAAACAACGGTGTATTTGTTCCCGGATAGGCAAAAAGCTGGTGCAGTGGAGTTTGAGGTAGAATTTGTGGAAGAAGCAAAGCCAGATACTGAAGTTAAGTTGGTCGTAAGCGGCTGGACCGCAATAGGGTATCCCACACCGCAGGTAGACTGTATTGAGGACCATTGTGAGGCAATTCCCAAGTTATAGTTGCTAAAACTTGTGCCTTGGATGGTCTGTCCAAGAGAAAGGATACACGGAGAACATAGTTGAGCCTCGGAAAGACTTGTCATCGGTACATCGCCACTTAATTCAGCTGTTATATTATTGAAAAAGTCTGACTATGTGAGCTCCATGACTCAATTTCGGAGATTGAATGCTTACCACTGCAGTACTCTCCAGTTACTGTGTCTGTTAAGCAAGTTAGATTAAATGAAGCAGACGTGATATCCCCGTAGTAGGTCGCTGGAAGTCCTGGGAATGGTTGTGGCTGGCCCGCACAAGACGTGACTACATTTGTGTGGTATGAAGTCAACGAGGTTTTGCAGGCTGCTGTACATAGAGTGGCTAGAACAGTACTGTTGAAAGTCCCTTGTACGTCAACCATGGCATTGCTTTGAAACCATTCATTGCACTCAACAAGTGATTCCATTGCGCTGATGCATGCCGTGCTGAGGGTCGCGGTTGTTGTATTCGCCGTGTAGCCAGGTTCTAGTATATAGAATTGGGCTGAAACCAGTTGGATTGCCCAAGCAGCGACAAGAAATCCATTGAAGAACATCATTATTTCTTCATAAATTACAGAAGGACGAAGACAGAAAATTTAGGAATCAAAACATATCAAGATATCAGACAAATGTAGGTGAGATATGATGCTATGCATAGGAAGTGAAAATGTGGAATTGCATCGCTTACCCCTATTGCAGCTTTGTAGGCCGAAAGAAGAACTATCGGCGGCGAGCATGCAGGGGACTTGATCGTGGAGCTTTTTCGTGAGTTAATCTGAACCGTATCTGTAGGTGCGCCTTGCGGTGGCCGGAGGGAAGGGTCTCCCTAATCTCACGCATCGAAATGCTTGTCATGATGCTTGAAGCTTAACATTTAAGATTGATCTTACATGCGTCCTCATTTTACAGTACTGAAACCATTAGCGGGTCCTCCAATCGCGGGCCAACGAGACCTTCGAATAGGGGGCTGTTGCTGAAGATTTTGCGCTGTGCCGCAACTCCGCTCTACGGGGAGTCAGCCGACCTACCAGCCGCTGCAGACGCAGGGAATCGACGGCATTCAAATCCATTCCGCCGAAGCGCCTAACATCCCGGTACTGACCTATTGAGTGTAGCATGCCAATTTCTAGGCTGTCCGCCCCCACATTCCGAATGGAATTGACCAGGTAGACTGCTTATTACCCCTCCATGTTCTCTACTGCATCGAGTTACAAATCTCCGATTACCACACTTTTCGATACTGGGGCACACCTTGTAGTTCAAGGGGTATGCATTCAAAGTCAGAGGCAGGCTAGACAAGGCGTCGATTGTGCGGGAGAGATAGGGGCAGGCTGGGCAGGGGAAGTAGACTCGTTAATCGAAGCTGATCGTTTGCGATAGTGCCCCTTTTTTTGCATCCATCTTTAAACTTCATTCTTTTCTTAATATTACCCTCCTTCCTCGACAGTCATTTGTATCTGTAAATACGTCTGGAATTTCTCCTTCATTCATCCATTATGGGGGCCGGAAATCTCTGGCTTGTGCTATCTCTGTGTCTTTATTTCCTCGGAATACATGCTCAGGATGGTTCCACTGACCCCTATACCTGTTCGGCCTCTAGTCCATGCTCCATTGGGTGTTGTTCAAATACTGGAGTAAGTCAACTTCGAGAGGATCTAAACGAAGAACTAAGAAAATAGGTCTGTGGTTTAGGCCCGGATTACTGTGGTGATACATGTATCTCTACATGCGACTACAAGTCTGAATGTGATCCCGGGTGGGGAGCTACTTGGTCAGCCGCAGAGACCTGCCCTCTGAATGTTTGCTGTAGCAAATATGGATTTTGCGGTGAGTCAACTGTTTGGTCATGTGAACAAAGAACTGAGATATAGGCACAACCTCGGACTTCTGTGGGAACAAGACGGTCACAAAGCCATCATGTAGTGGCACCAGTACAAGTGGTAGAACAATTGGATACTATGAAGGGTGGTCTACTACGCGCGCTTGCGACCAGGGTACCTAATTTCTGTTTAAGCTCATTTCTACGTGCCGTCTAAGGCGATCTAGTACCACCGGATTCGCTCCCAGCGGGCATCTACTCACATCTCAACTATGCTTTTGCCCTGATCGACCCCAACACCTTCGAGATTGCGCCCATGAGTGAGTTAGACACAGTTCTATACCCGAGATTTACAGCCCTCAAGGATTTGAATCCTGGCCTTGAAACGTGGATCTCCGTGGGAGGGTGGTCTATGAATGATGCGGATCAACCGACTGCTGCTACTTTCTCCAATCTGGCAGCTAGCTCGAGTGCTCAGTCATCATTCATCACTTCACTTCTCTCTTTTATGACTACATATGGATTCGATGGAGTCGATATTGACTGGGAATATCCTGTTGCGCCAGAGCGCTCAGGCCAGCCAGCTGACTACAAAAACTATGTGTCGTTTTTGACAAATCTGAAAAGTGCACTTGGATCCAACGGCCATAACTATGGGCTGAGTATCACGTATGGCCTCATTCTTGCCCATTCTTGACTGATTTCTAATGTCACTCTGTGCAGACTACCCTCAAGTTACTGGTACATGCAGAATTTTGATATCGTCAATCTGGCCAAGATTGTGGACTGGTTTAATGTGATGACCTACGATCTCCATGGTACCTGGGATTCAACGAACAAATTCATCGGACCTTACATTAACGCCCACACGAACCTCACCGAGATTGACTTGACAATGGACCTGTTCTGGCGGAATGATGTGAGACTATGAATCAAATTTTACACATTTCCTGCTAATTAACCCTCAGATACCTCCTGCGAAGATTACCATGGGTTTAGGCTTCTATGGTCGTAGCTTCACTTTGACTGATCCATCATGTACAGTTGCTGGATGTCCATTTAGCAGTGGAGGGACAGCCGGTCCCTGCTCTGCGAGCTCCGGAACTCTCATGGATGTAGAAATTCAAGCTGTCATCGCAGCTGGAGGTGTCGTTACGCTTGATAGCGCTGCCGCAGTCAAGCAAGTAGTCTGGGATACAAACCAGTGGGTCTCTTATGATGACGCTGATACTTTCGCTTTGAAAATCGATTATGCTAATGGCAAGTGTTTGGGAGGGACGATGGTATGGGCCGTATCCAACGATGATGGCAACTGGACTGCATCTCAAGCATTGGGAAGTTCGACCAGCCTTGGGCTTTCGAAGAAATTATCAATCTTTGGGGGACCTAGCCCAAAGGTTACTGACACCATTTCGAGTTGCTTATGGGGCAATTGTGGAGAGCCTTGTTCATCTATAAATTCAGGTCTATCTGCAGCTACATCCGGGTATGGATGTCTTTCCCTGACCCCATCTCTGACCCCTGCTAATATTCATAGCTCGGGGCAAAACAAAGGATCGGTGGGAATATATTCAGCGTGTCCTGATGGCCAAACGCGTCCTTACTGCTGTCCGCAGAATGACGTTCCTACTTGCACGTGGCGGGGCAAGGCGCCATTTTGCGGATCATCAGGCAAGTGCGAAGATCTGGAAGTTGAAGTGGCGAGTGACATATCCGCTGGGGGCGCTGGTGAGACCTATCTTATTCCTAATTTTTTTGGATCTTATCTGATATTCGCACAGAATGCTGGACTTCACACAAGGTACTTTGCTGCACCAAGACACAATCAGACGCCCAGGCAGGGCAATGTGGTAAGTTACTCTAGCGTCCTGAAATTTACATTTTAGGAGCGAAAGCTAAAAGAACATTTAGATTGGGAAGGGAGCGCGCCATTCTGTGCTGGAATTGGCGGCAAGGCATCCTGTTCTTCCAGCCACCCTGATCGCCTCACGTACAGTTCTTTTGGGGCCGGTGGCGAATCATACTGCGCCACTGGATATAAAAGCTTCTGTTGCACGGATCCACTTCCATACACTGGCTGCGATTGGTAGGCTACTTGAAGACTCATGGTTGTCAATACTAACCACCCCATAGGACTTCTAGCTATCCCATCTTCAGCAGTTGCGACAAAACTTGCGGCGCTGGGAAACAGACCCTTGCTGTGGACCCTACGTGGTGCAATGGCGGAGGGTATAATTACTTTTGTTGTGATCAGATAATCACTCAAACGACGACACCTGCCACCACACCTCCTTTGAATTTTTGTGTCGATACAGATGACGAATATGTGGAGTCGGGCAAAGCAGACGACGACAACAATCCTGCAGATCTGCTCGAACTTTACTGGTGGGAGCAGACGTGCTTTAGGTACGTTGTGCATAAGCCCTCACAATAAATATTTACTTACCCGCGAAGCATCCCCAACTTAGCGGATCCGACAATACCAGGAGTCGAAGATGTCCAAAAGCGCTCCGGTGTGAATGCCCAGCCTGTCCCAAAACATTGGAATTACTTTCTAAGCAACCTCACTGAGCTCGCCGTTAGCAATGAATGGGAGCCCTACTACTTTAACACATCTGGAGGAAGAGGGTCAAATCGCTATCCATCAGTCTGTCTCCCAGAAGGCCAATGCTACATCGCACCCGAGCTCGCCTATTCGCCCTGGCGAGAGATTTTGGAGGAGCTCCAGGAGTACTCCCCCAATTTGATACAACCGCGCGGCCCAGAAAGAACATACGGATTCTGCACCCCCTCAGGATCCAAGATCAAGAATTTCAGATCGTCTCCGTATCCAGATGTCAGCATCCTCTCGAACTCGAAGAAGTTCTTCTCAGCAGCCGTGGAGGCTACCACCGCAGGTATCTGCGCTGGGCTTCCTCTCATTGAAGGCGTGAGGCAGCTGGGCATCAACTACGTCGCTGAACATGTAACTGAGCTTCAAACCCCCGTCCAATTTGCTTCGGCGATGGTAAACGCTATATATCCGGATGGGACAACGCCAAGTGCTGCAATCGCAGCCTATGATTGGCTTCTCATGTTCGGACCTAACGGATATTTCTATCAGGTATGTCTTTGGGAGATAAATCATGTAGAAATTTATCTGACTTATTCATTATAGACGTGGGATCAGCTTGGCATGACGATCCCCGAAGGTTTCACGGGCGCAACCCCGGCCCTAGCCCTATACGCCATCTTCGGGACCACTGCGGACACAACAAATCTCTTGATCCTCGACGCTAAGACGAATTCTCTCAAGGCTATCATGTGGCGTGGCTTCAAGAACATCGTTGGCGTCGCGAGTTGGGGGAAAACCGGCCACGAAGCGAGAGCAGCATTACTGAACCGAATCACGGGAGCGCTTCCTTTGTATCTGAACAGTGATGAGGCACAAAATGCTCTTAGACACACGTACACTGGGTTCATCGCACTTCTGCAAGCCATGGATAAGGCCTCAAGAGGCGGTGTCTCGGCCATGACTCCAATAGTTGGTACGTATATTGAAACCTTGCACCTAGAAATGATAGAAGTGCGCGTAGAAACCTGTCTTGCTAATTGGCGATGCTCCACACAGGCACAACTTTCGACGCCGCTTATACCGAGTTCACAAAAACCTCGATGACCTTCATGGAGACGAACCTCCAAGATTTTGCGACCGACAAGCTTACCAGCGAGATTGCCTTTTGGGCAAGCAATCCAAGTAACTACGATACAGCTGTTTGCGCAGCAATGAAAACCGACCTCTCAACCTCATTGGCTAATGTTGTCACTAATGTAGTTATCAATCAAGGGTTTTTGCAGAGTTAATTTAGCCCACAATAGCATAGCTCATTGATATTTAATCACCCTTTGGTCTAAAAAAAATCGGTGCCTTCAAAGATTGGGTCTGCGAAGGGCCAGAGCTCTTCCGGAGCCATACTCATGCCTTGCAAGCCAACATAGAGACTGCTAAGAAGCGCGTCGATGGAGACTTTGAAAACCCCTGGATATGATTCCTCATTCTGCTCCTCTTCCTGCTGTCCGTATTCAACATCCTGTGCGAGCACAAATGGGACTCCATCTCCCTCTGCGTTGAGCACGGAATTAACACACTCTTCGTTGACAACGAGAAACACTTGCAAGTCGAGTCCTACAGCAATGCCTCCTCGTTCCTGCACACCCTGGAAATACCTGGAATACTTAGTAAGCACACCGAGATAACATCGTGACGATCCATGAATGGATACATACTTGAGACTCTCTGGTAACCCGGCATGATCCAGCGCCACATCCTCAATCATCTCGATGCTCAAATCATCCTTGATCCTTTCCCAGCCAACTTCCAATTCCGGATCTACGCTCTGCTGCAGCAATTCCATAAACCGAGATTTGAAAGCTGCCCAACGCGCATCGTCACCATAAGTAACACGCAGTAAGACGAAGCCCCACGGCCGTCCAGAGGGGCCTAGCCGCTCTACAGTCTCGACAATCTGCCCAGTCATCTCCTTGGGCGCCGCGACTGCCAGGACCGGAGGGAGGCCCAGCTCTGCACGTCTCCGGGCCTGCCCCTCAGCGATATTCCGCAGCATCTCCTCGACGCTGGGAGTTGGTGGCAGCGGGTGAAATGTGTCTCTGATGGCAGTCATTAATGCCAGATCCTGCAGCCACGTGTTAGGGGAGCTCGCATCCAGGTTAGAAATTATAGCAGCTTCTTACCCCGTGAGGAATTTCGAACGTCTCCATTACTTTCATGCTGTTGAAACGCTCGAGGGACCAGCCGGCTGGCCACGCGGGTTCTCCGTCATCCCTGTTGAGGGTTGGTCCTGGGTAGGTTCTAGCGAGTCGAGTCATGTTCTCCCTGTCCTATGATTGTGAATTGTTAGCAGGAGATAGGGGCATTGAGGAGGGCAAGAGAGCGAAGCATCCGAACGTTCAGAAGATAGATGTTTCATGGCTGTTCGGTGTAATCGCATGCTCACCGGTTGAGAGACAGACGACTTCAATTCGTTGTGGCTGGTTCGATTATATCTTTCGATAGACCAGCCCTGGGGCCATTCGGGCTCGCTATCGTTGGTGTTGATTGTAGGGTCCATCTTGAAGTAGTTGCACGAGGACGAGGGAAATTATGTGAAGAGCGGCATCGCCAACGGCGAGAAATGTGCGGGCTTTGCGATATGCGAAACCGTGCCAAAACGCCATTTTTAAGCGATGTTTTCCTTCGGCAGTTTCCTTACAGGGAGTGGCTGCTAATAGTCGGACTTGACGTCGCGCTAAAGAGGCCCTTCCTATGGAAAGCCATATCCAAGCGAACTTTTTCACTTACGACTTAATTAATGGCTTACGACTCGGCACGGGACGTGCTCACCCCACGAAAAAGTTAAGCGCTAAATTTTTAGTACCTATAGCCTATAATTAAGCGATGATGGCCCTAAAATTTAGCGATAAACAGCCTATAATTATGGGGCCTCCTTTTCCTCGCGACTCGCGTGCCTCGAAGCTCACTTTTCACTTTTAACTTTTAACTCGCTCGCCCTCCCTGCGCCCCCCCTCACCCCCTACCCCCTCTCTCCTAGACCTATACTTATATATATATATATATATAAAAGAATTAAAAAGAGAGAGTAAATGTTTTAAGTAGTAATAGAAGCATAAGGAGATGAGGCGTGGTATATAGGTATCCCTTCGTCCGCTGAGACATTGCCACATTAGCGGCCGCACATGAATATCCCTAATTCGGCCAAAACATAATCCAAATTAGGGATATTCATGTGCGGCCTAATGTGGCAATGTCTCAGCGGACGAAGGGATAGTGTGTGGGCGTAGTGTGTAGGCATTGGCGATTTTTGGTAGGGTAAGCACATTCGTGCCAAATCATAAAGTCATATGGTTGTAAGTCGTAAGTTCGCTTAGTCTTTTGATCCTTATGGCTTTCCGTAAGCATGACACCTGAAGCAACTTTAACGTGATCAGCTTTGGCGAGCTTGAAGACAACCTTAAAGGCCGCGGGCTTGGAAGCCGTCCATCTGCCAAAGGGCTAGGAACACCAAAATCGCCTCGCCTGGAATATCGCACCAAATCACAACGCAAAGCCCAAAACTCTTTACGAGAGTTTTATATAATAGATAAATGGCTAATCGATCTTTTGTGAAATTTCTGTAATAATTGAATGTGGGGAGAAATTACGATATTTCCTTAATTGCGGGGCTCTAGACTGCGCAAACTTCTCGCTTAGGGCATTGGGCGAATTTCAATGCCAGCGGCCTTCGTACCTTGCATCAACTCACAGTCGAAGTTCTTGTACTGATATGGATACACCGGAATGACGTTGGACTTCCTAGGTCACGTGAACGAGTTTGCGATGAGATTGACAGATGTTTACTTTGGGACACGACGTATATTGCAAAGTTTCTAGAGCTGCCTCTCGTGATATGCCCCACCCCCTTCCCCCATAAATTTTTGAACACCCCAGCCGACCACGAAATCTCCCCCAAGAAAGATCCCAAATGACCATTCGTTGCTATATCCGGCTGAGGCTGCCCGTCAGCACGAAACGGGCGGCGATCACTCAAAAGCTGCAGAGTTGGAAACCCTTGGTTTTACTCTCAAAATAACGCGTTTGACCCTCGGGGCTATTCGGAAAGCCTCTGTCCCCAACAGGCCTCCACTCGTCACAATATTAAAGAGAGATCCCTCTTAGAGATTATTTCAAGAGCTCTAGAAGGAATCCACACGCCAAAGTGGAGTTTTCCACAATCTCCTTGACCTCACCAACATGCTTCAGACTAATGAATATTTTCCCCCTTTCCAACTTGTCCGTCATCTGCTGATCTGATAAAACCGAAGCGTTTCTGGTCCCTTTGACTTTTGTTTGCTCGGTCATGAAGAACAACCAACGCCCCTCAGAACATGGAATCCAATAGCACCACTGAACGTCAATGCCGATGTTTAAGAAATTGCCCCGGCTGCCTAGCGGCAGCAAACCACCGCGTGGTAGATGAGTAGTTTGAACACCTAGTTCAAAGTCGAGTGTCTCTTGGGGTGGTTTGGAAGGAAGCGCACGTGCGGCAGGTATAGCTATCGTTCCATCGGGCGTGTTGAGGATGATGATACAGGTATCGTAGAAATCATGTCCACCTCGCTTCGAGCCAAAGACCCACGACGTGCTAGCAAGTAACGTATCTCCTATTACGCCGTGGACTGAGATTGAAACGATTTCCTCGTTTGAGGATAGAGGATACTCCGACCGTACATTGTGAAGGCCTTCAACTGACTCCATGCAGTGTGGGAAATGAGTAGAGTAGAGTAGAGTAGTGGGCCCTACTCATATTCTACTCAAATAAATTTCTCACTACTCATACTCTACTCAATACTCTACTCAACTACTCTAGAATATTCTAGAGTAGTTGAGTAGTATGCACGTGATATTACACGTGATATTACACGTGACACACTGGCCTAATTAGGTAAGGCTCCGGGGTAGCCCGAGTCTAGCGCCACTGCACTGCCCAATTAAGTAGTGGCAAGGCTTAGTAAGCAAGCTAGAACCTTAATATATTCATAGGCTTCCTTAGCTATTAAGGGCAAACTCTTCTCTCAAGGTACTCTTATTGTTTAAATTATATAATAGACTTAATAAGAGTACTATTAAGATAATATCTTACTTAAAAAGCTGGGGGTTATTTAAAGACGAATTAGAAGAAGTAAAAGGAGAAGAAAAAAAGCAGGAAAAGAAAGATTTCGAGGAGGGAAATCTGGTTTTTATAGAAGAAAAGTGGTATTTAAGTAGCCTTATATAAGCTCTAGCTAAAATTATATAGTACTACTTAATATGTACCTTATTTATTTATTAATAATTAAATAAATATCAATTTATTATATTTACGTAACTTGCACGTGACTACTCTTGAGTTACTCTAGAGTAGTACTCTACTCTACTCTACTCAAGTACCATATTACGCTACTCAAACTCTACTCTACTCTACTCAAGACTACTCTAGAGTAGCTTGAGTAGCTTGAGTAGTTTTTGCCCACACTGACTCCATGTCTTCGGTATAACTTAGTAGGCCGCGAGGGTGCAAATGCTGTTGGTATTTGGAGAGTGCGAAGACGAGACGACACACTCTGGCTCTCTCTTGTGGGCCGACCTTTGGCCAAGGCTTGTATTCTAAGCCCACGTGATCCTGCTTTTCTCGATCGCTCAGCAAGTAGAAGAGGGTAGATCTTAACGCAAGCCACAGAAGTTGGAATCCAGTCCATATAAAGAAGACATTCGTGCTTGTAGGGTGAGCCAAGACTAAATAGGTCGCTATCACCGTAATCACACCCACTATACCACCAAGTCCCCAAATGGTCTTCCAGAGCACATGCTGTCGGGTACTTTTTGTGACCCCAAGAAGTATCTTGCGGGTTCCCCCTACCGTAGAACAGGTCGGTAGAGAGCCCGTGACTATGTCAATTTTTGATATTGGGGCATGCCTTCGCAGATCATAGAGTTGTAACGTCAGAGCCGCAGAGAAAAAGAAGAGCCAACTTAGAATAGTGACCAACGCTAGCATAAGGGCGCCATATCTCCATAGCACAAAGGATTCTATGAGCTTCGCTGCCCCTGAAAGACCGAGTAATATCCAGTCTAGCCGAGAATGATATGAGGCAGTTTTCTGGCGCCAAGGGTCTTGGATGAATGAATAAATCTGCAAGTCTTCCCCGGGTATGCTTGGAGATATTGCATTTAAGATATTGGCTGTGCGTTGATCAAAGACATACACCTCTCGTCGTTCGAGCTCCACTGGGAAGTCTTTTATCTTTTTGGTACGAGTGTCCTAGAGAGCGTAAGCATTATATCCTTAGATAACTAGTTGTACGTACAATTTGGATCTCGCATTCGACTGCGTTTGCAGCCTCGCCACGACCTCGATACTTGAAGCTCTTGCTCAAGTCAAGAGATAAACCAACAACTGCATCAGACTTCGCGCCTCGAACACCAACACTGTCGCGCAGCCATCCAGGCGTCGCGGTTGCAGTGAATAGAGTGACAATTGACATTACTCCGAATATGGTCATCGTGGCCCATACAAGACCCGCAGGTCCTTTGTCGCCGAGTGCCAATGATTCTGCGGCGGTTGAACCGATCAAGGACGTCAAGGCTGCGATCTCAATCAGGCCATTGCCCAAGTTGAAGAAGCCGAGCCCAGATATGGACTCTGTTGAGTTGTCCATGGCTAAGGCATTTACAACAACTTGGACAGGAGGAGAAGCAGGGCGTACCCGTCATTAAGTGAATCGTGTTGGGGGCCCTGAAACACAATCGCGTAATATGTCCAATCGGATGCAAGCTACAGTTTCAGATAACCTTACTGGAGCTCCTCTCGAGAATGCGACAGATGCTGCCTGGGGCTGCCTTTTGTCGTGACGTTCGGCTGGCGCTTCAGCTGCAGTATGGGATGCGAAGACTCAACACCTGTATGCGGTGCATCTTACCAACCTCCAACCCTTTTTTGAGATGCTGCAGAGCCAAGATTGAGTCACGGTTAGAGCTAGGAGAGCGTTGCGCCTCAATTGGGAGAAGAGACTTGGGTACAGGCCCATCCGTCCAGTCTCGCCATGCAGATCGTGGGAATCCCGTTGCAATCCCCTTCTTGTCGATAGGACACCTCTGGGGCGCTAACATGCAGAGTTTTCATCCACCAACAGCACGTAGGATTCTCCTGAGTCTGAGGCTCACAAGTGGTGGGGCCGGTAGTGCGTGGAGGGAAGCAAGTTGAGAGGGAGCGACTCTTGGGTAACCTCCCATCCATCTCGAGAAAATGAGTTAGTAAGTAGGGGATTTGGGACTGAATAATTGTCGTGCAGAGGAGATCTTCTAAAAGCTCATTAGTTCCGCTCGATATCCCATTGAATGCGTGAGGGCCAATCCATTACGCCCTCCTTGTATGAACGGTGCCGCGAGTATATATCCTCTATTATATCTCTATTTTTGCCATGTCCCGCGTACTTCAGGATCTCTTTATTTACCTTCTCGACGACCCCATCTTCTAGGAGTAGCATCCTGAACGCTTCTGGGCCTTCGTCGACATTTTCCACTACTGTGATAAGAACGACCTCCGTAATGATTTTTGTAACACGCTTGTCTTTGTACTCGTTAAGTAGGACTCGCAATATCTCGGGCGCGAAGGTCGGATTGCCAGCTGCAGCTTCTAGTATGCCCTCGCTAACCTAGATGCTTATACCTTCTTCCTCGTATGTCTTGAACAGATACAGTAGCATATCAACGCCGTAACGGTTACTCGCCACAACTAGCAGCAACAGCTCTATATCGATCCGCCTGCAGCCTTTACAGAGCAAGAAGACGTGGTCTAGGGTACTAGTCTATCGACAGTTTCCGGCTATAATAACGGTAACGGGTGCCAAAATCTGCGGATTACTAGACTGTCGTAAAGAGCTAGTTCTCTGCTTCTATACTAATAGATAATTGATCGCTCTATCTAATTTTCTCGCCGCCGCTATAAGAATGGCATCTCCAATATAGTTGACCTTATAGAATATAAACTCAATTACGCCCGGGTGGGGATTGCGAGCAGCTGCTTTATAGAACTTGGAGGGATACGAGTTCTGCGGCTGGCGGAGCAAGAACTTAATTATTAGCAGCGTGCCATATTCTATTGCGGTTTCTAGAACCGTGCTATTATTGATTACTATAGGATCGTCCGCACGTAGCAGGAGGAATTCAAGAAGTTTGTGCCCGTATATAGTGTTCTTAACAGCAGCTATTACCATTTTCTGTGTGACACAAATGTATTATTACTGATCAAAAAGACATTTAATAAGCTGTCTGCCCCTAATTAGAGCAGCTCTCTCAACCATGTCCTATTTGACATAATAATTCTTCGCCCAGCCGCACTTTAGAAGTAAGCTTATGCACCCTAAATTCCTCAAATCCCAATCATCCTAGGGATTTTTGGTACCTAGGCCATTCTCTGAGCGTACTATAGTTGCATCTTTGCGCCGAATATCGTCAAGGAAGTGCTCTTCCGAAGCATCAGTAACAATCTCACCGAATCTGACGCTGTTTCCGTCGAAATCATAGGCGCCGAGCAGAAGCTTGCTGGTGAAAAGGAGCTTCAAAACTTTAGAATTGCTATTCGCAAAGGCAGTTTTAATGACCTCGAAAGACCCGATGAAGCCAGGGCTGACGACAACCGACTTGAAGTCCAATAGCGTCTGCAATATCTCTGCCCCTCTTTCCCGATTCTTGGCGATATAAACCAATTCTTTGCTACCAAGAGATAGAACTAGCTTCGTAGTCATTGCTGAATAGAGCTTCGCAACGAGTTGACCATCGGCAATGGGATTTGCAAGGGCAGCCGTCAGTGCACTCAATAGTTCTACTTCTAGGGTCCCTTCATCTGCCATCGGAGGCATCCCTTCTTTGAGCAGTGTGTCTAGAAGCTTCCAGGGCTGCTTTTCGTTGCGAGCTGCATCCTGGAGTAAGTGGAGCGAGCCAATAGAAGGCTTATTTTGCCGGAGAAGATATGTTGCTAGGTTCACATCTCCTGTTTTAACAGCCCAACGAATCATCTTTTCATCTGGCTTGAAGAAATTTGGGTTATGCCAGTTATAGTTAAATAAGTGATCCCATATTTCTCTTCTGATTTCCTAGCCGACTCTAGCTATAGCAATCATATTCGCTGCAACACGGAGAATACCTTCCCGTCCCCAGGTCCGAGGAGTACAAGCCTTCACTAATTCCAGATTGGTGTAAGAGTAGTGAAACGCTGCAATTAGAAGCCCTTCTATAGGCTCTTTAATGACACGACGAGAGCCTCTTTGAAATAGCAAAACCTGCAGCAAGTCCTGGGCACAGTAACGATTCTTTATCGTGGCAGTGAGCACGCTGCTACAAAAGCGTGCGGCGTTGAAAACCGTCCATCTGCCAAAATGCGAGGAACACCAAAATCGCTAAGTTCAGAAAATCACACCAAATCTCAATGGAACGCCCGAAACTCTTCAAAAGTGCTTTATATAATAGAAAAGAAGCAGATCTAACTTTAGCGGAAATTTTATAATAATAGAATATAATACGGAATTATGAGAATTTTTGTAATGCGAGTGTTAAAATTGCGCCCGTCCTCGCTTATCGAGTTGGACGGATTTCAATGCCGCGCGCTTTCGTATTTAGTCGGCACTGAGTTGCCTTAGTCTTAGAGCCTAGCAGTGCAGATACAATCTTCGTGTCCTTTGCTGCCTCGATAGCATAGTCAAGTGCTGTCTTGTAATTATTATCTGGTTTAAAGAAGGCCTTATTTAATCGCTTGAGCTTTACTAGTAACTATAAAGTCTAAAGCCTTCCGAATATATACGTTAAGTATATATCCGAGAGACTATTAATATTTGCTTGTATTAGATCCGATTAAGCCGACTTATCTAACAAGTTATTAGAGCCTCCTGAAATAGAGGATCTATTATATAATCTAGCCTTATTCAAAGGTTAATTATAGTATTTAATAATATTAGTTAACTCGTAAATACAAGCAATTAAATACGGACTTAATAGTTCTAAGATATACTTCTCGAGCTCTTATTCTATATACTTATTATAAAAACTGAAGGGGTATTAAAAGAGAAGCTTTTATATACTAGTAATTTATTTCCAGAACTAATAACTTAAATAAAATAAAATAAAATACTTAAGTATATTATTTAAGCTTATTATTAAGGTAAAATAATTATTACTTAAACTATAATAAATAGCTTAATATATTAAAGTATATTTATAAAAGTCTTAAAGTAAATTATTAGTAGCCTTATAAGTATTATTATTATTAGTTTAATATAAGAAATTATTACATTATATAAGAAATTATTATATTATATAAGAAATTATTATATTATATAAGAAATTATTATAGTTCTCGAGATTATAATTACTATTTTAAATATATAAATTATTTATTTTAGGGCTTAAATAATTAAGACTTAAAGCATAACTTTTTAAATAGCTTAATAAGAATAATTAGCTTAAAGATTATTTTATTTCTAGTTCTTAACTTTTACTTTATTCTTATTCTTAAACCTATATTAGTCTATTAATATTAGAAAGTAATAAGCCGTAAGAATATTTTAATATTAATATTTTTATTAAATATATTTTAACTTCGAAATTCTTTTTCTTTTAAAAGTATTATTTAATTTTTTATAATAAGTTCTTTATATAAAAAGATTAATTCTTTAGTATTTAATATTCATTTATAAAATAAAATATTTAAAAAAGCTTTAATAAATAGTTTCTTTTATATATAATATAATAATATATAATAGTTATATAATCTAGAAATACTTATATATATTATTTATATTTTTAAACCTTTATTTTTATAAACTTTATTAAATATATAAATAGCCTATAAGAACCTAATTTAAAAACATTAATTAATTAATTAAATATAAAAAAAGTAAATTAAAATATAAATTAAAATAAAATACTTATATTATTTTTATTTTCTTTATAATAAATTCGACTATATATTATTTAACTTAAATAATAATTTAAAGATTTTCTTTAAAAGAAAGAAATTTTATATAAGTTTAATTCTTAATTATTTATTTAATTAATAATAAAATATCCTTATTCAGCTACTAATTTATAAAAATATTATATATTAAGATTCGAAATAATAATTAAGGATTTTTAAGACTATTTTTTAACTTTATTAAGGTTTTTTTAATATAATTATTATAATAGCTAGAAATTAAAGGCTTAATATTAGTTTACTAATAATATATAATATTATTATATATTTATAAAATACTATTTAAATAAAATTAATAAAGTTATTATATTTTAGAAATAAATATTATTATATTATAATATTATTATATTATAATATTATTATATTATAATATTATTATATTATAATATTATTATATTATAATATTAATATATATAATATATATAAGATTATATATAACTAAAGGGCATATAATAAATCTCGAATATTATAAGTATTAATTAGGGAAATTAATAGCTCTTTACTATTATAACTAATTACTATTTATATTATAAATATTAGACTTATAAATTACTAATTATATATATATATTATCGGGGCTTTCTATTTAAAGAAAGCTTTCCTAAATCTTAGAAGAGAAATAGAAATTAGTTTTATACTAAATTTAATATTATAGTTTTATAACTTATTAATTTATTCTATTATCTTATT